GGAAGTTCGATGGTAATGATAAAAATTTTTCACAGATCAGAAGCTGAAAGAGGTCTCAAATGTATTAATTATATTGGTGATGGTGATTCTAGAACATTCCCTGCTATACGTGACAGCAAACCATATGGATGATGAAACTGTTTCAAAACTTGAATGTGTTGGTCACGTACAAAAAGAATGGGAACTTCGACTGAGAAAGCTAAAACAAGACTAATAGATGTAAAAAGCTGGAGGACGGTAAACCTTTATCAGGCAAAGGAGGACGATGTCGTTCATGACGTGATGAACAGACATGATGAAATAGGCTGACTCAATACTATGGGAATGCAATTCGCTCAAATGCTTTGTCAGTTGATGAAATGCGTAAGGGTATTTGGGCAGTTTATTTTCATACGAGATCAACTGATGCTGAGCCGTTACATACATTTTGTCCTGCTGGTGCAGACTCATGGTGTAAATATCAACAGGCAGTTTCAAATGGCTCGGTGTAGGTAAATTTCATCATAAAGTGACTTTGCCAGTCTTCAGTCATGGATGTTATAAACCTGTTTTTAAAGCTTTATCAAGTCCAGATCTTTTGAAACGATGCCTTGGTAGCTTATCACTCAGAATCCGAATGAATCTTTTAATTCCCTCATATGGCAGATATGTCCGAAAACTTCTGGATCTGGGAAACGAATTGCAGAAATTGCTGTATATGAAGCAGCAATTTTATTTAACATGGGCAAAAAGGGTAGGCTATCTGTCATGAGGCAAATGGGTATCCATTCAGGTATAAATGCAATAAAATCTCAACTTCGCAGTGATATGAAACGTGTAAATACTGCTAAGGAGAGAGCAATGCAAAACACTATAGAAGCACGAAAAGCAAGGAAAAGATCCAAAACAAGTTTAGAACATCAGCAAATTGATCAAGAAGGAATAATGTATGAACCTGGAGGTTTTTAATTTGTGTATATAAATATTATGAATAGTAATAGTATTTTGTGATAAGTTATGTGTGTCGACAAAAATTTAAACATCTTGTTCAAGAAACTGATTATTAATATATTTTTATTCTCAGAAATATTTATAGTTTTATAACACAGTTTGCACATTGCATTCTCTTTCATGTATATGAAAAATATATCTTTATCTGCAATAATGTATCCTTGATAACGGTTGACTGTGTCATCACTTTCATTAAACAATGCATTGTTAATTGTTTTTCAGATGCAATTTCCTTATTATAATATATATTCTGTCATTAACTTTATTCAAAACACAAACAAAAAGCATAAAATACAAATTAGGTACCAAATAGTACGAGTTAAGACTCGTTAAGTCACAATGTTACTCATTTTTATAGCGATGCAAACTTTACAGGTCTTTATCTCAAAACGTATTTTTTTAATGCGTCGTCGCGCATGATATTTCAGAAACTTTTTAATGTATCTTTCTGAAATTTGTACCATAGTATTATCATGTTACACTAAATTAATTAAACTAAAATTTTGGTATTTTAATGAAATGTTTCAATTTTATAAGGTATGTAAAAATCAAAATATAGCAAAAAAAATTATATTTAATATATATATCATAAAAAAAATTAAAAATGCATGAATTGTGTAATATTTTAGTTCAGTTATATTCTCAAACATTCTTCTGCATAAAAAAAGGAAAATTAAACATTTTGGTACAAAACATTTCTTGTACATGTGCGCGCAGTGTGCGTACAGATTAATTAGATGTGAAAAATGTGTCTTATAATTTAACATTTGTTTTTACATTTTTATTATAATTTTCAAATTTCAAGTACCATCTAATTAAAGAATAGACATTAAATTAATAATGAACAAAATATTGAGTATTTTTGATAAGAATTAAAAAGTTGCACAAGATTGAAAAAAAGGTAAAAAAATTCATCTTTCAACTCATTCAAGGGTCGTGTGACCCCTTAAATAATTCTACTTTAATTAAACTTAGGAGATAATATAATCAATTAATCAATACTGTTTATTTATAGTATATATATATATAGTATATATATATATATATATATGCGTGAATGTGCGAAATATGGTATCTGAAATAACAAGGAAGTTAAAAGTTAAAACTGGAAAAAGAAATCTAACGAAATCATTTATTTATATTATTAAATTTTTATATTATCATTGATATTAAACTGCACTGTAGTCAAAGAATAAATGTCTGAAAATACCTATATACATGTAGTGATATCTCACAAACCTTTATGTAGGATATATATAAATTTTCATTAGCGAATGCTCAGTTCAAAGCACATAAAACTTACGAGGGAAAAGCTTATTTTAAAAAAAGCATTTCATAAGAACGCAGCAGGGGTGGCAAAAGGAGATATGTTCTGTGTTTCTAAGTGTACTATATCCATTGTTAGTAGCGAGCACTTTATCATTTTATATAGCTTATTGAATAGCTGTATACGTATAGTATATATACGGGTTCATAGACGACAGTAAAGAATTTTGCAGGTCACATACGAGCTCACCGGCCATTGGTGAAGGATTTTTCGGAACTCATGTGGGCTGCTAACTGCTCAAGGATTAATTGTTTCATAACAGATGCTTCTGCTAAGGGCAAATCAATTCAAATGAAAAGAAGCTGGAATTGTGTCAGAAAGCTTTACTCTACTAATATGAAATAACATTAGATGAATCTAATTTGATTTTGCGATTCAAATTTGCGTACTCACCTTTCAAACAGAACATTAAGACAAAATTGGGCCCAAGTAAGTAACTAGGACCCAAGATTAGGACCTAGTTTTCTTAAATTATTATGAGAAATGTACTGGATGACTCAGGAACTCATAAAATTTGGGCCCATAAGCCTGAGTCTTATCGACCTTGGCAATAATCAAGCTCTGATCCCAAGGAACAGGAGCCAGTTTCCTTTAGAAAGTCCTTCACGAAGGCATTCCTTCCGTTGGGCAGATAGCCCCAGTGTGCTTTGCCATAATCAAACCAAATCAAACCCAAGGAACAGGAACGATAGTAAGTACGTCAGAATGTCGAAAGAACACTTATATTGATAAATTATTTATAAAAACATTAAATTATGATTAGTTTAAATAGTTAAATTATCTCTCTTTAGCAATTGACTCTTTAAATTTCCTTGTTGATTTGCTGTGAGGGTAGATTAAGCTAACGGCCATTGAGCATAATTCTATGAAAATTCGAGTTCAGATGTTGAAAGATTAACTATCATTTTAAGCTAAAAATTCTAAATAAAAATTCTATAAATTTTTCAGAAGATGGATATTTATCCTTAGATGTATTAAAATGTTCAGAATTATCTTTAGGAAAAAGGTTAATACTAGATACTAAAATTAGTTGTTTTTAAGGCAGTCATATTAACATTTGATTGTTCATGGAAATTCGTGATCCTTAATCAAGTTATTTTACAGCATTAATTTTGAATAACAATGAAAATGTTCTGAAGCATAAATATGTCATAGAGTGTTTTGTCGCAAATTTGAAATAGTACTATATCTCAAGCATAAAAAGCTCAAAATCTGAAGAATTTCAAACGAACATATGAAGTATGTAACAAGCTCTTCGTAATGTACGAGTATTACGTATTCTCTGGAGCTTTTATTTTTTTAAATACTTTCAAAATACGTATTTTGTACAAAACTCGGACGCCTGTATGGTCATGTAGAATGCTGTAACCATTCATTTTACTTCTGTATAGTAGAACTATGTAGTCATCCAGCAATTTCATTTTTTATTGCTTATGATTAAGAAATATTTTAAAATAAACTATAAATGGTGGTACTTAGAATTAAAATGATAATATTTTGGGTTCAGGCTCCAACACCAATTATTCTGCTCCCAAAAAAGCCAACAGAAATATTTTAAAAAATGTAACGTTTCCTATAAGATGTTAATCCTACTCAATTCAAATATGTGACCGAGTAGTTACAACCCGAACCACTGATATTTCCCCACGGTTTCTATTCCCAGAGGTTGGACGTTGAGATTATGTGAGATTTTGTATGAGATTTTGTGATTTTTCTGGTCTGTGATGAAAATACAGATTAGTTTTCTATAGAAACTCCACTGTGGATATACATACCTTCCCGTTAAGCTTTGCCATAAACAAATGATTTAGAACAGCCGTGGTTTAGAAGTGTATTCTGTGCTCATTTATTCTCCGCTTATAAATTTTCCTGAAGAATATTTAATTCTGTAGTAGCTGTAAAATAACCAATTTTAGACGCTCAGAATTTTATATACCATTATTTAGAAAGTTGAGTTCAGTCTTTATTTTCTTAACTTTTATTTCCTGTTAAATTGATTCAACACTATGAGTTGAAGGATATTGAGATCATGTGATCACACCGAAAAACGAAAATCTTATTTGGTAAAATATTCACAATACTTTAATTAATTGAAAAACGAAATGCTCTATATCCTTACACTCAAAATTAGCAGCTATATGCATAATTAATAATTTCTTCAGAGCCACTACAAATTTATTACAGGCTGTTTTATCTATCTAATACGCAGCCATTAGTTTTCTAAATGCGCAGCTTTTGTTCCCAACACTTGGTAGGAATAATCGATAATCAACCACTTGGTGAATTTAACACATAAAGATATGAAACTTTTTGTTGTTATCTTACTAAAGCACAAGGGTATTTTATTAACTGGAATTTTACTGTAAGGTGTCTTCAACCTGCAATGTTAAAAATGTTTCACCCACAATGTTAAGAGAAAATTTTCTTTTCTCACTTTGAAATAGTGTAATCAATTGAAAGTCAGGGTCCACGATTAATAAATAAATGAATGTTGTAGCTGTAGCCACCTTTTCCAACATCCTGTATATGCAGTTTATTTTTCTGTTTATTGTCAAATATTCCAATATTTAAAATGTAAAAACTGAGCTAATTTTTCAGTCTTAAGAGCTGAAATTTGTGTATGAGACGTATAGAATTTCTTTTTATGTATGCACTTCATTAACTTTTTTTAATTCTTTTTTAGGAAATGTGAGGTTACTTCTCCTTTAAAAATAGGTTTAAGTGTTTCACATGACAGCATTTTCTCCCCTGAAAGTAATGCAAGTGTTTTGAACAGTGAGGAGCTTAATGTTCCTCGAGGCTCATCTCTATCTGTTCGTCATACTTCAATAAAAAATATGTTTAAGGTAACCCTAAGATAATTATTTTTTGCACTAACATCTTTTCATATTGTCATCATTAATTTTTAAAATATTTGCATTTTCAGCTATTCTATCTCTAGAGCATTAAAATGTTATGTATGATTTTATTTTTGATATTTTTAATTAATTATTTTTGCTTTATCTTATCATTCAATTATGTATGCATGCTTTTTGCGTAACACAGGAAAATTCGCCTCACTAGCAGATAATATGCTATTAAATCAAATAAGATATTTTAATTAAAAAAGTAGCGGTGTTAAAAAATATTAGATGTATAAATTGCTTGCATACAAAACTGTCAATTATTTAAAAACTGATATAGTCTAAAAAATTTTTAATTCAGATTTATAAATGCCATTGAAATTATTTAATTACTGCTGATTTAAAAGAATCTGCATACCTTGGGCATCATCAAAAATATAATAAAAAGTGTAAAACCTTAATTTTTTGATGAAATCAGTTTAGCTACATATATTCCTTAATTTATTGTTGCTTTATCGCAAAAAGTCTCAAAATTTTCTTTGATATCTTTTGATAACTAAGTTTTGGTAAATAATGGTTATTGAACAGTAGGTATTTTTTAATTTACTAAATTTTTATATTTTATGCTGTATATAGAAGCTGTATAGTAGGGTTGCCAAAATTAATGTTAGTTGAAAGATTCAAAGATAATGGTTTTTGGTTTTTAAGGTTTGTAGCTTAAATTACGAGAGATGCGTATGAGTGCAATGAAAAAAAGAATTGAGAAAGTTCAATGAAGTATAAAAAGCTTCAAAATCGATATTCAGTTATTACCAAAGTGAGAAACTGGTCTACGTTAATATACTATACAAAATGCATTTTATTGGAAGGATTTCTAGATAGCACTATGCTGGAGAATAAACATCGGCAGTAGAAGTCGGCGCTAGGCATTTTGCATCTCGGTTCAAACGCTGCGAGTCCTAAATTTTGCTGGGCCCCCACCAGCGGCCGAGCGGTTAAAGTCTCTGAACACTGGTAGTTCGGTCCGAGGTTCGAATCTCACGAACGGGCTGGCTGTATGGGCGTTTACGTGCTTTTCCCCATGTGTAACGTGTATACGAGCCAGTGTCCCTTAGAAAGTCCTCCACGAAGGCATCACTCCCCTTAGGCAGATAGCCCTAGTGTGCTTTGCCATAATTAAATACACCACACCACACCTAAATTTTGCTGCCTGATGCCTCTCTAAATTCTCAAAAGTTTTACTGGCCCTGTATTCTGCTGTCCAGTGCCTACCCTAAATTCTAAAGATTTTGCCATTCCTAAATTTTGTTGTTCTATGCTTCTAATAAGTTCTAAAAATTTTGCGGCCCGATGCAATTGCACAGGTTGCACCGGCTTCGGCGCCTAATCCGCATAAATTTACAGACATTCCTCTTTCTTTGTAAATTACGAATATCGGTTCGGTGGATACAGAAAATACGACTATAATAAAAATTGATATGATTAACATTTTACTTCTGTAGAGTTTCAAATTTCATAAAATCACAATGCATAATCATCATCTTCCTCTCGGAGGTATTCGAGAAAGAATTAAATCGGTTTTCATACCTATTAATGAACTTCTAAGAGCAAATCTGGTGAACGGATGCAAAGCAAAATACGTTGGTTTTGCGGAATAATGGTTCGCTGTTGAGTAAAACGACGTGCATTATTAAATTCATAGCTGATCTCTTTAAAATATTTATTAAATATGACAGTACAAATTTTACTCAAAAAAGGAGAACAATTTTCTTTACAACCTATTAAAATGTAATATTTTGCTAATTAGAGTTTTTATTTTACTGTCACCATATAAAATATTATTTTTGCTGATTTCATTCACCCATAATGTAGAAATGTTTTTTCATTAAGCTCTGTGCCTTATCTTAAGAAACTTTGTAATTCGAAATCTTGCTAAGAACAATATTTAAGGTGCAGTAAGGCATTACCAACATTTAATAAACTAGTAATAAAATGTATAGTTAGTATTGTTACGAATTTGGTATTTAAAAAGCTAATGTTAGTTCAATTAGAAATTAAATGGTTTTATTTCTCGCGCAGTGCAGCGCGTGACGAATATTAAAAGAAAGCTAAGCCGGAAAATTGAAAATACAAGAGCGCGTGCATTAAATAAATAAATATCTCTTTTTGATTTCGAGAAAGTACTGGAAAATTCTAGCGCGTGATTTTAAAATCTTATAAAAGGAGGAAAACATCTCAGTTTGTAGTAGTTGCTTAGTTTGTTGTTGTTTAGAAAACTACTGTTGTTGATTGTAGCGAATTCGCGGATTATTAGCGTTCTTTAGCTGTTTTGAATTACGTTCTATTGACATTTGAGTAGTTAAAAGATAACTACTGTGAGATATTGTAATACTGCATGATAATTTGAGAAAATTTAAGCATTTTTGTTGTGATAATAATAAATTTTTTGTTCATTTTTCATCGGACTTGTTGCATTCATTTCATAACGAACCCGTACGCACGCAACAAATTTTTGGTGTCAGAAGTGGGATTTGAATGCCAATAACAAGAGCGATGGAAGAACAATTGAGACAGCTCATTAGTGGTTTTGCTGCATTCCAAGAAAAGATGGAAGCTGGCCAAGCATCATTTAAGGAAGAAATGAAATTGGGCCAGGAATCCATTAAGGAAGAAATGAAATTGGGCCAGGAATCCGTTAAGGACGAAATGAAAGCCGTTCAAGCTGGTCAAGAAGAAATGAAAAGAGAAATACTTGCATAATAGAAATAAATTTGAAGCTATGGAAGGCAGAATTGACGCAGTTGAAATAAAGTTGGACATATTGAAGAAAGAGTTTCTCTTCGGTGAAAGAAGAAATAGAAGAAAGAGTTTCTTCTTTAAAAGAACAAATTGATGAGAGAGTTTCTGCAGTTTGCCAAAGAAATGGATACTTTAAAGAAATTCGTAGCGTCGGCAGGGAGCAGCGGAGTGATGATTTTAAATTCTTACCAATGCCTGCTCGTCCACCTCTGAAGCTATCCACATATGATGGGAAGACCTCCTGGCAGGTGTATAAGACACAATTTTTCTATCGTGGCGGATGCGAATGGATGGGATTCCCAAGCTAAGGCCTGTCATCTCGCCGCTTCTCTAAGAGCCGACGCAGCGGATATCCTTCAGACTCTTCCCGAAAACAAAAGGTTAGATTTCGAAGCTCTGTCCGGCGCCTCCTTGGAGTTGCGCTTTGGGGAGAAGTGTTAAAAGACTACAGCAGGCTCCAATTAAAATCTCGTCAACAGAAGCCTACCGAAACACTTCAGGAGCTCGCCGCGGATGTTGAAAGGCTGTCCCATCTCGCCTTTTCGGAATGCCCGACAGAAACAAGGGAAATCCTGTCCTTGCAATACTTTATCGACGGCATCTGAGATACTGAAATACAGAAAGCTCTACGAATGGCGGACGTAAAAGATTTAAAAAGTGCTCTAGTGTACGCCATGAAATTTGAGGCAGCCCAGCAAGCCACTCGTCGAGACCGCCACCCAGTCAGAGCTGCTCAAGTCCAGGAGCCAGGGGATCAAGTCACCGCTCGACTTGACGATTTAACTAGACAACTGAACGCCTTGAGACGGAATATTGGTGAGAAGAAACCGACCGTTAAGTGTTGGAACTGCGGTGCTGAAGGACACATACGACGAAACTGCAAAACACCCCAGGGGTACTGATGTTAAGACCGCTTCTAACAAGCAGCAGGGAAAACTAATTAGTGGCCATCTCGCGGGGGCGGAGGTTGCCAGATAATGAAAAGCCCCCGTTTTAAAGCGCTTCAGATTTCTGCAGTGAGAGGCGGCAGTAATGGACTTTTACATAATAGGACATATTAATGGAGTTCCGTGCAATATGACTATAGATACAGGAGCCAACGTCACCATCATCCGAAAAGATTTGGCTCAACAACTAGGAAACAAACTTATCTGGACGCCGCCCTGCGTTACCCTCCAGACTGTGTCCGGTGAGAAGATCGACATCGACGGAAAAGTAAATGTTAACATCACGTTTGGAAGTGCCGCTTACCATCACACGGCATATGTAGCAGAGATCACTGATTCTTGCATACTCGGATTGGACTTTCTAAGGAAATACAATTTTTCCTTGGATTTTAAAAATAACGAATTGCATTCTACATCTGAGGACATAGCGTTATTTCTCGTTAATGATGAAGAAGTTAAATCTGTCCATAAAATCATAGCACAAGACTATATTACAATACCGGCAAGAACAGAAATTTTACTTCCTGGATCCATAGCCGAAAAATAGAAATTTCCGCTACGGCATCATAGAATATCCCAATAACTGTAATATCCCAAAAGGAGTATTAGTAGCCTCAACACTCGTCGACCTATCCAGAACGGTTTATCCCGGTGAGAGTCGCCAATGTAACTGAAAAGTCGAGAGTTATTAAGAAAGGTGAAGTGGTTGCAACATGTACTCCAGTAACCAGCGTTGTTGAAAAAAGAGTAACATCCCAGAATCCGTGTCCTCAGAGAGCATTACATCGGAGTTATTGCAGAATGCACAATTAAACGATAAAGAGAAAAATGCTGCCGATCGCGTCATTAAAGATCTTCAAGTTGTTTTCTCCCGCTCGTCTTCTGACGTGGGTCGAACTAGTTTGACACAACATAGAAATAGATACTGGCGATCATCCCCCGATCAAGCAACATCCAAGACGTCTACCGTTTGCTAAACAGGAAGAGGTGCGAACACTGATTAAAAAACATGGAAGAAAGGCGATGTCATCGAGAGCCTTCAGCGAGTCCATGGGCATCTCCCATCGTTCTCGTCAGAAAGAAAGACGGGCTCAACAAGATTTTGCGTTGACTATTCGCCGGGTTGAATGAGGTTACGAAGAAAGACAGCGTTACCCTCTTCCTAGAATTGATGACATTCTAGACACTCTTTCTGGAAGCAAGTGGTTCTCAACATTTGATTTAAAGAGTGGGGATTGGCAGGTAGAAATCCATTCCTGATGACCGAGGAAAAGACGGCATTTACCTACGGGACAAGGGACTTTGGCAGTTCAAAGGTGATGCCGTTTGGACTGTGTAATGCACGCCGGCAACATTCGAACGTCTTATGGAGACTGTTTTGAAAGGCCTTTTCTACGAAGCCTGTCTGATATACCTTGGACGATATCATCATCGTCGGAAAGACTTTTGAAGAAGCATCTAGAAAATCTTAGAAAGGTGCTTTCAGAAACTGAAAAGAGGCCAATCTGAAGCTGACTCCCGCTAAATGCAAATTGTTTCGAAAGGAAGTGACTTACCTGGGACATGTCATCTCTGCAGAAGGTGTGCGCACGGATCCTGAAAAGGTATCAGCGGTTAAATCCTGGACGCGTCCCGAAAATGTCCATCAGCTGAGGAAGCTTCCTAGGGCTTTGCACCTACTATAGGAAGATTCGTGAAGAACTTTTCTTCCATCGCAAGACCCACTTCGACAAGCTGACAAGAGAGCAAGCAAAAGATTCTTGTGGACCAAAGGAATGCGAGGATGCATTTAACAACTTTAAAGGAAGCTTTAACATCTGCTCCAATCCTGACGTATCCTCAGCTCGACAGAGCATTTATTCTCGACGCCGACGCGAGCAATGAAAGTGTCGGTGCTGTTTTGTCCCAAGAAATAGACGGCCAAGAACGTGTAGTAGCTTACTGGAGCAAGTGCCTGTCTAAACCGGAGAGGAATTACTGTGTCACAAGGAAAGAGTTGCTCGCCATAGTCAAAGCTGTAGAACATTTCCATCATTATCTATACGGGAGAAATTCCTCCTCCGCACGGACCATGCCTCATTGGCGTGGCTTTTAAATTTCAAAAATCCTGAGGGTCAAATAGCCAGGTGGATACAGAGACTCCAAGAATATGACATCACTATCCGTCATCGTAAGGGATCATCACACGGAAACGCCGACGCCCTGTCTAGAAGACCTTGCCAAGAAAAACTGCCGATATTGTTCCAGGGTGGAAGCGAAATACGAGCTGCTGACTCCGGTCGCAAGACAAATTACAACATCAACATCGGCTGCTCGAGACCCGTGGAGTGATGATGATGAAGTCAGGAAAAGACCAGCTGGAAGACCACGACATTAAACCCCATACTTGATTTAATAGAGTCATCAAACAGAAAACCTACATGGCAGGACATTTCTATCTGTAGTCCTACAAACAAAAACAATACTGGGCACTCTGGGATTCACTTCACATTCGAAACGGCGTCTTATACCGGAAATTCGAGTCGGATGATGGGAAGACGTTCCGATGGCAAACTGATACTTCCGAGATCCCGGATTCCTGATGTCCTCAAAGAACTACATAACAGGCCCTACAGGAGGTCACTTTGGAATTATGAAGACCTTACAGAGAGTTCGTGAGCGCTTTTACTGGAATAATGCAAAGAATGACGTGTGCAAAAGTGGTGGCCGATCTTGCGATGCCTGTGCAGGTCGGAAAGGACCGAGGAAACGCAGCCGAGGCAGACTGCAACGTTACAACGTAGGTGCGCGCCTTTTGAACGTATCGCCTTTGACATCCTGGGGACCTCTGCCACGAACTGCTGATGGCAACAAATACATACTCGTTGTCATTGATTACTTCACCAAGTGGCCTGAAGCTTATCCTATTCCTGATCAAGAGGCAGTCACAGTAGCTGAGGTAATGATACAGCACTGGATTTCCAGGTTCGGAGTGCCTCTTCAGTTACATTTCCGATCAGGGGAAGGAATTTTGCCTCGGCAGTAATCAAAGAAAACTATGCAAACTACTTGGCATTGACAAAAACTCAAACGACGCCATTGCATCCCCAGTCGGACGGCATGGTAGAGAGGTTCAATCGAACCATCCTTAATAACCTCTCATTAGTGGTTTCCAGAAACCAACAGGACTGGGACAAGAAATTACCACTCTTTTTACTGGCTTACCGCAGTGCTGTCCACGAGACTACCGGCTATTCTCCATCACAGATGCTCTTCGGTCTTGACCTTCGTCTGCCTTGTGATCTATTGTTTGGCCGCCCTCCGGATGCTCCTTCATCGTCTGAGGAATATATTCAAGATCTCCAGGCCCGGTTTGAAGTGATGCACAATTTTGCACGAGAGCGAGTCAACTTGGCGACGGAGAAGATGAAGACCCGATACGACACAAGAGCTACTGAACATCATTCCACGAAGGAGACAAGGTGTGGTTGTGGAATCCGACTCGACGGAAAGGACTTTGTCCGAAATTACAGTCACCTTGGGATGGGCCGTACACAGTCCTAAACAGGCTGAATGACGTCGTGGTTCGGATTCGTAAGTCTTCAAACTCTAAACCTAAAGTCGTTCATTACGACAGGTTAGCTCATTACTATGGCCATAGTACATAATGTAAATAATTGTAAATAGTATAAGACCATGGTCCATTTTGTTTTTAATTTTTTTTTAAATGTGTATTTGATTTGTATTTGATAGCATTTGATTTGTTTATGTATTGCATTTATTGTTCATGTTATTTATTATTGTAATGTAATGCTTATTAATGCATTTATGCCACAGTTGTAAGTTTTGCTTCCTGTCCAGGGATTGTACTGCCCGAGACGTGCAGTCCTTGGGAAGGGGGCAGTGTTACGAATTTGGTATTTAAAAAGCTAATGTTAGTTCAATTAGAAATTAAATGGTTTTATTTTTCTCGCGCGCAGTGCAGCGCGTGACGAATATTAAAAGAAAGCTAAGCCGGAAAATTGAAAATACAAGAGCGCGTGCATTAAATAAATAAATATCTCTTTTTGATTTCGAGAAAGTACTGGAAAATTCTAGCGCGTGATTTTAAAATCTTATAAAAGGAGGAAAACATCTCAGTTTGTAGTAGTTGCTTAGTTTGTTGGTTGTTTAGAAAACTACTGTTGTTGATTGTAGCGAATTCGCGGATTAGCGTTCTTTAGCTGTTTTGAATTACGTTCTATTGGACATTTGAGTAGTTAAAAGAAAACTACTGTGAGATATTGTAATACTGCATGATAATTGAGAGAAAATTTAAGCATTTTTGTTGTGATAATAATAAATTTTTGTTCATTTTTCATCGGACTTGTGCATTCATTTCATAACGAACCCGTACGCACGCAACAGTATGTTAGTTTACAGAGTACTCTGTTCCTTTTGTTCCTCTCTTTTTTTTTTTTTTTTTTTTTTTTTTCCAAATGTAGTATTTTAATCGTTTTACTTTCGAAAGTAAAGCGGCTAAAAAATACTGCATTTGAATTATTTAGTATTCTGCAGTTTCAAGGGATAACAAAGCAGTAAAAGCCATATTTTTCTGTCAAAGTAGTACATACAAGACATAATTTCTAAAATGAGAAGTGCCAGAGCTCTGAGGAAGGCCTTCAGTAAACAGGAACAAAAATAAATAAATAAAGTAAGTAATAAAGTGGCATAAAAGCTCGCCAATGTAAAACTCAAAATTAGGCAAACAGTTACCTTATCTTGGTGTAGATTTTGAACGAAACTCTGTCGATTTCCAGGGTGATCAGACACAAATCCCTCTTCTTCGGGAAGGGGAGAATTCTGTATTGCCTAATTTTGAGATAAATATAAATGTAATAAATTCTTAAATTAATGATAAATAGTATTAAATAATAATATAAAATGTTGGGCCTCATCTTATTGAGTGGTCGGCAACCGTTTTCGTTCAAAGACTAAAAAATAATGGATCTGGCATCCGGCTGAAATTAAGAGCCAAATATACAGTATAATGTGCTATTTATTTCAAGGGTGACAGAAACAAAGACAAATTCTTCTTTTTCCATCGCACCAATGAAAAAAGGTTAAACGGTTAAAGCATCACTAACGAGAATAGAAAGAACATTGAGGAAATTTAAAGGAGGATGTATAGGTATGAGGGGTAAAAAAGAAAATTCTAGTACCATTTGACCACGATCTTCTGGTGATATAATTCTAGCTGTTAAGCAAAATGTGACAGGAGAAAGAAAAAGAATTCTCCGAATCCGGAGATAGTTTGGGGAAAGGAAAATTTTCCCCCTCTCATAAATCCATTACACTTCCTGAAAAATAAACCTTTAACATGTGGGTGCGGGTTTTCCTTTCCTTAAAAGTCTCACCCTCCATCCAAGGTTTGTTTCCCAGAGAAAAACTTAATACTAGGATAAAACAAAAATACTCTGCATAAATTGTGTTCCAGTAAATAAAAGAGTGCTTTATCTAAAAAATTGAGAAGTACTGCAGGTGGGCTTCCGCGCAGTTTAAGCACTGAGTACAAATACATGCGCATCGCATATAAGTTTATGCTTATAATCAGGATCGTCGCTGACAGACATTTTTGGGCACATTTTAGCTTGTTTGTTTCACGTTATGTCCCGTCCTCGCTTGGCGCGCGATTTGTAACTTAAAAATCTTTCTCTCTCTTTTTTTAAAAAATTTTACCGTCTGCTTGAGCTTTTGATAAAGCATGACTGCACTGGTTAAAAAAAGAACAAGAAATTGATGAAATCAATTTAATTTTGTTTTACACGTTTAGCACATTCAAATAAATTTGAGCAATTGCATATAAATTAAGTACTATGTTTCTTGATACTTTCCAGAATATTTCTATGATATTTATTCTGCATTTCTACTACCTAGCTTATCGAGCTTTCTTAGATTTTTTTAAAAAGAGGGTGGGGGGGGTCAAAACTAAAAAAAAAATTAATATTATATGTGCCATTTTAAATACTGTTCTACTTTAGCGCTGTTTTTTTCCCTCCCTTTTTTTCCCCTCTTTTTTTTTTTTTTTTTTTTTTTTTTTTTTTGCTGTTGTTGTTGTCACCTTCTGAAGGCAAATTAGCTCACAATTCCTCGTTTTAATGTAATATATTATTTCAGCTCTATATTTCTTTCGGCTAGTAAAATGTACTTCTTCATAATATTTGCTTCCATCCATTTGTAAGTACATTTCTTGTTTTCTAGGACGAATTATTCACTAGAGTTCGTGCTAGAAGGGATTCTGACGATGATGACATTGGACTACCACATAGTCCTTGCACTAGTCCAACCACCGTTGATGTCCTTACCCAAGGACTGAAAGTAAGTATTTTGTTTTTAGAGGGAAAACAGTTATAAATATGAACTTGGAAACAAATAATACAGATAATACTTCAAAACTAATCATATATTAACTGTTTTTAATTTTCATCCATTCAGAAAGAGATTTCACATATATTTTTCAGCAAAACTATTTCAAATTTTAGTATCATAGGAAACATAATATGCCAATGAAAATAAATTTTTTTGAAGGTGAGGTCAAGTTAAAAAGTTTATGAAGACTTCTGAAGTACAAAAAGTATCTCTATTGTGAATATATATCAGGAGCAGTTTAATGAAAGCCTTTAATCCGTAGGATTATTGCGACTTTAACCGGCTAAAACATGCTCAGTATAGTTTTTGTACTTCATTATTAAACGGCAAGAAGTGTTACGTAATTAACCGAAAAATGAGAGCTGATCTAAAAAAGGAGTTCTCTAAAGAAATTTAAGATTAACAATTTGTGCATATTTAGGTTCAGATTGTTGTTAATTATGAAATACACTTATTTTCATATTTTAAGTAAAATGCTACTAAATTTAGGGGTTTAAAGATTAATAGAAATAAAACTTTAAAAAAAATATAGTCTAAGTAAATTAGTATGTGGTATACAAAGCTATAGGAAGGCTAGAAGTCTTTTTGGGGGAAAATGTAATCATGTTCATGTTTTTATTTTTCCTGTCTTTTGTAGAAACTGTTTCTATTAATAGCCAGGATTTTAAGTCTGTTTTTTATCTGTTTGGGTAACTAAGTAGATTGCATAAGAAGAATTGCTTTGATTTATATGTGCTTTTAATGAGATCTGGGATAGAAAATATTTGATTAAATTAATAAAATAACATTCATTAACTGCAGCAAGCATCCAGTCTTAAATTTTTCAGACTTTACCCTTAAGTATAATATAACCAATTGATGTAATTTTACATAAGCAATTTGTTTTACTGCTAAAAGATTTTCATAAAAATTTAAAAGGAAAAATCTTCTCTATATACAGAGCGGATAGGCTCTCGTATTCACCAAATGGCATTCGTCCTGTATATTTCAGTAGCTCTGTAAAATTTGCTCTGTGTAGTATATATTATTGATAAAGTTGTCCTTTAAATGTGTTGTGGTAGCAATAAAATGCTAATTTGCTATACATAAGTTATATAAAGAATTAAAAGAAAAATTTGTATTGTTACGAAACCATCATTTGTGTTGTCTTCAACTACATACGTATTAGCATAATTTTTTACTCGCTAATTTTTTTTCTTCTTATCCTCTTGACGATCTAAGTAGATCAATTTTGTTTTTATACATCAAATTTAAAGTTATCACTTTCAGAAAATAATAGAGAAAGCAAAATAATGAGCATAACATAGTTTTTTTTTTTTTTTTTTTTTTTTTTTTTTTTAAGAATTCAGATTTCAGTTTAAAATACTGTGCACTCTTCTCTGTTAAATAATGTTGCTCTAAAGACATAAAAGTTCTGAATGGCTTTAGACACGAGAGAAATTTTCAAAAGCAATCTCAACCGTTTAATTTTACTTTTTATAAACCTGTATCATTGTCAGCTTACTGGATTGTCAGCACTGCATGATAATCTAATAAACAACTTACTGGCATTGTCAGTATTACTGCAAGAAATAAAATGATCTTATTCATCAAATTTTTCTTACACACAAACGGTGGTGCAAGCACTGGAAACCAATATGATTACCCGATTTAGCAGTGAACCAATCATTTGAAAGAGAACCGTGAATGTGTTAGTGCCTCGTGTTTAAATGACTGGACCAAATGAGCACATTTTGCTTCCAAGCTGCCTTGAGACCAATATTTCCTGTTTCATCCTGTGGTCAAATCACGCTGATTCATCCGCTGCTAACCCTCATCATGACGGAATTTTTCTACTCTCATCCCCCTCATCAGTGAGACCTACAGATGAAGGCTAAATATTCGATACTTTAATTTTTGCCGGCCTCAATATGAACTTTCTTTTGCTGTTTCCCCCACCTTAGATAATCTCATATGGTGTTACCACGCATACAAAACCTCGAGAAAGGTTCCTATAGGAAAGTCTAAAATCAAAAAAAAAAAAAAAAAAAAAAAAGACTGTAGGCTCTAAAGTTTAGCATGGAAAATGGCTGACAAGGGAAGCTCGATGAGAGGGAACGGGAAGTGCAACCTCACGTGATTCGGAATGATGAATCGTGAATGTTTTGAGACCAGGTGGCGCGTCTCGACGAATCAGAAATTTTCGTGACCAGAAATGTAAATTAACATTTCGGACCCGGGAGAAGGCGGAAAATATGTGTCTTCTGCTCTAAAACAAGTTCGGCCATCAAAAGGAATTGAGGTCAATGCAAAGCAAAATGTAAATTTGGGAGAAATTACGTAATATTGTATTGCTAGAGTTAGTTAGTTGGGAGAGGGTTAGCTGTTCTGAGCAGTGTTCCTGAGACTATGAGTTTTGTGTGGTGGTCGCAGATTAATATCCATTTAATCAGTTTATATTTAAAATTAACTGCATTATAAATATCCTCATTGTTTGTTGTCTGCATAATAAATATCCTCATTGTTTGTTGTAAAAATTGCTATTAAGTTTGTTAATAAAGGTGATAATGTTTTCCAGTTTGAAGTCTCTCTGTAACTGACTATCCTTGATAAACCAGGGCGCTCCTGCAATTCGGCATAAAATGGTTATTTTGGAAAGTTTACAGTTTAGTGAGATCTGTTCTAAAGGCAGCACTCCAGGCTGGCAAGGCTTAAGTAAGAATTGGACGTAAGATAGAGGTTAAGATGCTTTTTTTCTGCTCCAGTGTAGAGGAATCCAAGTCGCCGTTCAGACGGGTTTATCTGAGTTAACGTTGTCAGTTCCATGTGTCGACTAGCTCCGTTATACTTGCAGTTCAGATTTTTCAACTCGCTGCCTATGGGTAAAAAGTAGTTTTGGAGATGGGTGTACTATGTCAGATGTCTCCGTTACCTCAGATAAGTCCCAGTCTGAACGGCTGTTTAGTTTTCTAGAGACTCCTGTATGTAGCTTTGCCAATGGCAGTAGAAATATGCGCTCCCGATGTAAGGGTGGTGTGGTGTTGAACCGTACACCTAGATAGGTAGCTTTGCTAATTCTAGAGACTCATTCTTATTGAACAGAGTGAGTACATTATCCGCATTCTTACGTCTATGTCAGCCTATAAAAAGTAGTTTGAACTTTATGAACTTTGATGATGATCATTCTCCAATTTCTAATACTATTTTCTTGATTCATTCCCTTTTCAAAACGTTGTGACTGAGAGAGTCATTTGTTGAGGTAGGGAACATACGTGATATATGCACACTGACTTGTTATGCTTCTCAGTCTGACCAAAATGCCAGTCACTGTGAAATAATTTTAGAGTGATGTACGCGTGTAAAATGCAATTCTATTTTCAATCACATGTGATTGTTCTAAATTTGCCTTTTAGTATTTTCATAAATATCTTCTTAGAACGTGTTCGTTAATTTATCGAAACATGAATTTATTGTAACCAAACATTGTCATTCAGTGCTAATATTCGAAGATAGAATATAATCATTAAAAATAAATACAAAAAAAAAGGATAATAAACACTGGATTTTCTGAGAAGCTTACTGGTGTGGAGCATTATTGACGAATTCTGAAGATGAGATTCTGCATAAAGGAAAGCACACCTACTTGCATTTATAACATAAATAATATAAAAATAAAGAGATATAGTCAGAGTGAAAAAAAAGGGTTCATGATGAAGTTGCAATTCAAAGAATTTTTCCCATATTCTAATGCCACTGTGAGATTTGAGACTAAATTTCATTACGTAAATCCTCTAAAGTTGAATTTTAAATTGCATTCTTGTCGTTTATAAACTTAAGTATATGCAGCAATATTAAAACCTATCATTTGTATCTGTAATCATGTAAAACATACTTTTGGTCATGATAGAATGTAGTGGTAAATGTGCATCATGTTGTCATTGTTTTTAAGGACTACAGATAATGAGACGTATATTATGTACTTCTAAATAAATGTTGTAATTATATATATATGTATGTATATTTATGTGAGGAGTGAAATTCAGAGTTGCAATGCCATGCACTGTCCTTGGCGAGAATCAGCCTACAGTAAGCGAGAAGCATGCACTCTATCCACACTGAATAATTTTTCTTCTCTCTCTGCCCATTGAAAGTGGCAACCAGTTGCGTAATTTAATTGCAATTCTTGCTAATTCTTTTGCCTGTTCAAGCGACTTTGTATTAGCAAATAAATGTTGTTAAGATTGTTAACTTCATTTTTATCAATTCGCATACAGTCCCCAACCAACAGCTATCAAGACATAATAATAGAAAAAAAAGATTACTAATGTTTAAAAATTTCAATTTGTAATAATTTATTTTGCTTATATTGTACATTTGTTGAAAGCGCATAAACTTATATCGGTTATAGTATATGATGAAAGTTATATAGAATATAGTTGAACTTGCATAACAGTTGATTGTGGGAGGAAAAATTCAGTTATATTGCGCTTGATTCTGTCAGAAGGAACAGCCATTTTTAATTGGCATTTCATAAAAGTTAATTCCGTTATCTATTAGAAAATGATTATAGTTAACTGTCTAGTGGTGACCATCTCCCTCAAGAGACACTTTTGAAGGAAACCGATATTTTTGAGAACATAAGTAATATTGGTACTAAGCCTCATCCTCTTTAAAACCACTTCATCCACAGATCTTCAGTGTTTGCTAGAATGGTGAAATGCCGCATTTAAAGAGGGTTCACTGCAGTTTTAATAAAATATGTACGTTTATCTTAACTATACACTGAAGAGCCAAAACATTATGACCACCTACTCAATAACAAGTTCCGCGACCTTTGACCTGCAAAATAGCTGCAACTTGCCTCAGCATAGATGCCACAAGTTCTTAGTTGATGACTGGAGACAGGTTGTACCAAATGTCTAAGCTGCGATCACGCAAAGTCTAGGTATTCCGACACGGTAATGTTTAAGCTCTGAGCTCTCGCTGCATGATATCCCGAATATGCTGTATAGGGTTAATATCCCCCGAGTTAGAGGGCCATTAACTGGAGTTCATCCTTATGTTCCTCGAACCACTCCAACACAATTCGACTCTTGTGATACGGGGCGTTGTCCTTCCATTTCCTGTGGTGGTGGAAGATTCCATTTCCAGTTGGGAAGGCAGATGTAAGAGTGCGACTGATCCGCAATTATGTTCAGATAGTCCATGCAGTCGCACCGGCCGATGCTATTCGCACCAGCGGTGCAATTAGCCGCTTAAGTTATTCGCACCAACATTAACCACGCATGCGTATTCAGTTGTCGGATCCGTCATTTGAACCCAATCATTTCGCGGCTTTCAAAAGATTAGAAAGGAAAATGGGTCCCTTTTCTTATATATATAAAAAGAAGGAACACGTTTCCTTTTATAAAAGTATGTATAAAAAAGTGTAGATTTTTTATGTTCACAATGTTTATCGTTTTCTTGAACGGTTGGAATAGTTTAAATGACTGATTTGGGGGGGGACAAAATCTTGTTTACATTTTTCGTGCTTCTTAGAATACATTTAGTTTCAAAGATATGTTTTGCACAATCATTCCTTTAATTCATTCCTCTTTGAAAATTTTAGTCTTAGAAAGGATAATAAAAATTAGATAGATGTTTTCTGTCTAGAAAATTTAGACATGAAATAAGTTAAAGACGATTAAATCAACTATTAAATGAATAATTAATCATATAATACTGGTTATTAACAATTTTGTATGCCTGTTTATTTTTGATAGAAATACTTGGCAATATCAGGACACAAAAAGTATTTCGAAGAACTTTGAAATATTAGTACAAACACATTAATAAATTTAAATTTAAATAAATAATGGGATGTAATTTAATGTAAGTGATGTAGATTTAATAATTTGCACACATAAATAATTTATCAGAATTTATAAGGTTTTATTTCATAAATAACTTTGTTTTTGAAATATGGCTTTTGAACCTATAAACATGTGTGGATACTGAAAAAGTGATGAATATATAAGAATATTATAATTTTCAGTAAGTTTTCTTATTGAATAATAAATTCTGACAGTCCTATGCTATAAGACTAGGGTCTAAGTTTGCATAAAAATTCCTCTGTTAAATAAAAGAATTTAAGTAATTTCTGAAATTTTCGTTTTGTCAATACATTAAAGATTTTTTTAACTAATTACACGTCCTCGCTTGCAATTAGAACCATCATTAAATCCCTATTTTATCTAATCATTTCCTGAACATTATCATTCATAAAGGTTGACCTCGTCTTTGTAAATGATAATTATTACATGCAAATTATTTTCTTGCTGGTGAACTATTAACAACCCTTTCTATTGCTGAGTTAGGGTTAACAACCTTCGCTCTCGCTACCGCCTGCCTTACGGAAATCCGCGTAAAATGCTAGTACCTGGGCTGATTGTGCACATGCGCGAACGTAGGTGGTGTGAATAGCCTCTTGGCTATTCGCACCGTCGGTTTTTATTTAATATATTATTAAATTTTAGAGGTAATTTTTAACTTTTTCGTACTTTTCAATGTCGCGATTAGCCACTGCAAGCCGAGCGCTGGCGCTGGCCCTGCTGCACAGAGAGGATTAGGGGATTTTGGCAAATTAGAGAACCTGACCATCTTCTACAGTAGTCGTTACCTAATGATAAGTAAAACGAATAGTTATGGCTAATATCTTCAGTAAGAGTAAGTTGAATACCGATTCTATTGTTTGGAGTAGAATGGCAGATCTCTTTGTTAATCCTGTACATAAGTAGCAGATCAAAAGTGGCTTTAAGGCTCGATTATAAGTAACAGATGTGTGATTTTTGTTGTTACAACAATTAGCCATACATAAGTGTGGTATTATTTATTATTACTACAGTGTAGCATTTAGCGTTCTGTACCGTGTGCAGTTTTATTTGATTAAAGTTGTATTTGAGTTTCATTTAAAAAATGATTTACTACATTTTCAACAATTTAATCAACTAAAACTAAATTATGCTCTATTTTTGGGCAAAGTGAAAACCCTTTTAAAACCAGAAAGATTTGATGTTATTCACACATGTCTTATAGCAGAATCCACATTGGTGTGCAAAGCTTAAGCAACAGGTATTCTTTTTGGCATAACTGCACGAGAAATCATCTGAGAATTAAGAGACAGCATTTTGTATTTAAACGATGACGAAAGCATAATTGTTTTAAAAATGAATACAATGCATACAGTATGGAATCAAACAAAAGCAGGCTTTATTGCACTCATAGTATCATTACACATGATTGTCTGTATAAGAGGAAGAACAACAAGCAGGTGTTCCTTAGTATGGGATATGCCCTTCCCTTACTGCAGTGGTTGCTTCGAACGGTCTCTCCATACTCAGCACCAGATTTTCCAACAGATCTTGAGGTAAGAGTGCCCATTCCTCAATCAGCATCTGTTTCAGTTGTTGGGTGTTCCCCGGAGGATGTAATCGTGTCACAAGCGTCTTTCCAAAAGCATCCCACACATGTTCTATGGGATTTAAATCAAGGGAGCACGCTGGCCAATCCATTCGAGTGATATCTTCACTTTTCAGTAGCTTCTGAACAGCAAGAGTCTGGTGTGGCGGTGCATTGTCATCGATAAAACGAAGTCTGCTCCAATGGTACCTCGGAATAGACGCACATGGGGAAGGATCACCTCCTGACGATAGCGATCTCCGGTTACAGGCTTCTGTCGAAAACGTGGAGCTCCATCCGCCCGTTCAGCATAATGCCTCTCCAGACGAGATCTTCAGGACACCGTAGCGGTCTCTTTCCGTAATGTTACTGAGATTAAACCGTGTCCCGACTTCTCTCCGAATCAATTTATGTCGAGAATCGCTTGTGGCACTAAAACAGTTCTCATCCGTAAGGAGGATACGACTCCATTGATGAGATGCCCAGTTTTTGCGCTTCTTGCACTTGCTTTTAAACGATGATGCCGATGGCCAACTTTCAAAGGGATGCAGCGTTCAGAACGGCAGGCGCATAGGCTACCTTTGTGAAGGTGTTTGGACACAGCAAACTACGACAATTGTCGCCCGTTGCTGTTCACAGTTGTTGAGCTGTGGCGCTTGCTGACTGGTTCGGACTCTTTTCGTCTGCAGGACTATATATCGGTTATTTTCTGCAGTTGTTTTCCTGGGACTGCCACCACCAACCTTTCTAACAACTGTACCTGGTATAGAAGACTTTCTAGACGCCACTTTGTTGATTCCGAACTCTTCAGCTATACTGGTCACACTTCGCCCCTACTCCAGATTTTCGATTATTCTTCCACGTGTGAAGTCATCCAGATCATTTCTTCTGTCCAATATTTCACGAAAGAACTCCTTGTACTTGCAGCGAATGTCTTTAATTGCATCTCTATCCTTCCTTTTATGGTAATCTCGAGTTGAGTGCGCCGACGGTACGCGTTTTGCGTACGCTCACGTAGCCTGTGAACTTTTTTTCTTGACATTTGCATACGCATGACCTTTCTACTGAATTGTGTGTTCATTGTACTGAACGCTAGAACCCCTTTTCTGCAATTTCATGGCTATCTGATTAAAATTTACATTGTTGCTTAAGTTTTGCACCACACCAGTGTAAATAACACTGGAAACGATTTTTTTTTTTTTTTTTTTTTTTTTTTAAATTTCGTCACACAAATGAAGGAGGTTACTGAAGAAAGTAAACTACAACTTTTATGTAATTTTGTATCTGCAAATGTTTACCAATATTAATGATTCAGAATCATATGATAATGTAACTATAATGTTCTAGATTCATTGCACATTATTAAAAGAAATGAAATAATATTTGCTTTACACTGTTTAGCACCTAGATTACAATAAACAGATGAGTCTGTAAATCAATTTCTTTAATAGTTACCAATGTTAAAGCACTTGAGCAAGGATTGTGAATTTAAGTCTGTTACTGTGTAGAGACATTAGGTACTTTTCGGAAGCAGGCAAGATAAAAAATATGCAACACTTTCGCCGGGAATCGACCCGCGGACCTCTCAATTACGCCCTAAGTGTGCTGACCACTACACCACGAAGGCACTCTAGGAAGACCGGAGAAATACCTCATAACTTCTGAAGAATATAAAGATGAGTATATTAGAGAGAAATTCATCCGAGGATTGAAGAATCCTATCAATATTGGACTAGTTTCGCTGAAATTGTAGGCAGTGGTATTTTCAACTTAACTGAGAATTTTTACTTTGAACTACTTTTGGTTCATTTTATTCATTCATTCTTGTATATTTTTGTTCCAGCTGAGGTTTGTTTCAGAGCTCACAGGAAAACATTTCGAAAAGTCGCAAAATATTCCTACATGGTTAATAGTATTATTTTGTTCGCATTTTAACTGTCTATCTATGGCTATTCAGTAGCAAATTTTTTGTGTCATTTTGTATTCATAAAATAAACAAAATTATATGTATTTTTCAAAATATTGGGCACCCCTGTGAATTATGAACTGAGTTTAAAGTTTGACCTTAAAAGTTTTGACCCATATATCAAACAGTTCTTAATGTAGCCCTATTCGTAGATTGTTTCGCAAAGAACAATGTTACGTACAACAAGGCTTGGCATACCTGCAGCGAAAAAGGTTGTTGTTAATCATGACTTTTGCACTACATTTTATATGTCATTTATTCGAAATCAATAAAGAATATAAATTATAAGATAAGTTGCCAGGTGTTATTTTTATTAAAATATATTTTCAAAATTACTCATGTCTTACTCCCTCCCCCAGGAAAAATCTTCCAAATCTCAAACCACTTGTAGCGCTGGCAGTTTAATAAGTATGGGCAGTTCGGAGAATGATGAAGTAAGTGTCTTTTTTAATTTATTTATAAATTGTGGTTGATTCTGATTTCATTTATAATGTTCTTAAAATACTTGCTCTTTTCTCAAGGATTCAGCAGGCCATTCTTCTGGTCACTCATCAAGAATGTCATTGTTAGATAGAAGATCCTTAGATTCAGGTATCAGAATGCTTTCTAACTTATTCTAGAAGATATGTTACTGTAATATGTAATGCTTTATTAAATTGAAAAAATTCCATATTTGCAAACTTCACCTAGATGTTTGAGAATGGATTTATTCATTTAGTTCACATTTCAATGACTGTTATTAAATAATTTTGACGAAATATATTGAGAAACTATAAAATAAAAATTACTGTTTTGGCGATTAATAATTTCGTGTCTGGAGGGGGTAATGCACTTATTATAATTAATGATTTAGCGAATTTTGCATATAATTTGTTAAAGCATAGTGAATATTTTTACTGAGTGGACTTTTTGGTGTGTTGGAATTATATAAATACTTAAATTTTGTATTTTCATAATCCTCCTTTCTCTTTCCCTCAGTGCAGAAATTGTTTTCATAAAATTCGCAACTTTGTTTTAGAAATGTAGAAGTATATGTCTAGAAGCATGTTTAAGGAAATAAAGCCACCTTTCTGAAAAATCTTATTTATTGTATTCTGTCACACATAAGAATCTACTTTTATTTTTAAATTCCCCGTCCCAATTTAAAATTATTGAAAAAAAATTAAAGTTGTATAAAGAACTTCTTTTAGAATACAGAGGGGCTTATGTTATTTTTTTTAAATTTATGAAAACAAGAAAAATTCCCTTATTTTTGACATGAATTTTTTACTTTTGAACAAACATTAAATTAAATTTATTTTATAATTACTTGCTCTAAGTCAGGTAGTTTTAACTAAATATAAGTATGAATAATCATAGACATACATTTGGGGTTTCTTTTAATTACTGCCAAATTTTATTAACGATGTGTATGGTCTTAATAAAGGCTGATCTGTAAAGGATAATGCAGGTAACTTTGCCATTTTTCTGAAGCAGTAATTTTAAAATGCTTCTCTCTGCATACAAAATTATTTAAAACTCTCATTCATACATTGCAAACTCTCATTAATCATTTTTTGTTCTGTCTTCATACAATAATATTTTACTTACCAATTAGAATATTGTATTTAGTTCTATACATTGGTACCTAATTTTCTAATTCTTTTACGTTTTTCAGTTGTGTGTGCATAATATATTTTCAAGTTTATATGATGATTGTAGTAAATCAAAATGCGAAATTTATGGAATATTAACTAGGGAATAACTGGAAGAAAGGATTACTTAGATGAGGCTGTATTTTAGTCATTCTTGTTTATTGTAGATTAAAGATAGAAATTAGCTAATGCTGATTATTATTGAGACCTGAGGTGTTTCTATCAAATATTTAAGTATCTGCTTAAACGTATAGGCGATCCAAAAGTATGTTAAGTTTTAAAAATTTCACTAAATTTTATGGTATCTTAAGAAGCACATAAAATTATAGACGGTAGACGAATTCTAATATAAAAAAAGTTATGAATGCTATTAATTACCTATCAAAATGAGCTATGCATTATGGAACAGCACCTATTATGATTTATAAAGGGATCATTGAACGTGCCATGTAACAGAGAATTTGACATTGGCAATACCCATCAGCAATCACTGCATAGGCATGATTCCAGCTGACTCCATAAACAAAAATGAAGGGTATCAAATGTGGGGATTTAGACAGGAATCCATTCACATTCAAAATTACACCTTCTTACTTTAGTCTTTTAAAAGTTAATCTTAGCTATTGTTTAAAGAATAAATGATAAGAAGTTATATGAGCTGGCGTTACATTTCATATAACTGCTGCAGAATGCTGTCTTTCTTCTAGTCTAGGGATAATGCTGTTTCATATCAGGAAACTATTGACATTTTCTAAGCCAGGCACTTAAATTTTTGTAAAGAGAGATTCACATAAAAGATAGTGAATCCACACCAAACCGTTAATTTTAGGTATTGCAGTAGAATTCATGTAACCCGCATATGCTTGTATGTGTTTCCAGTGCTTGTTATCTGTAATTTTATGTAATTTCAAAGCTATTAACATTAGTAAATGCTTTCCTGTTTCCAAAATCGTAAATGATAAATTCGTGAAGATGTTAAATTTGGGGGGGTGGGATTCTATGATGCTTTCATATTAGCATCTCCAGATAGTCCCATATAAAATTCTAGTTCTGCGTGAAACCTTGTGGAAGTTAGCTTCTCTATGTGAAAATGACGCTAAATAGACTGCCCATTTTTCCACAACTTTAACAGCACTTAGACACATGCCACAGGTCTTCAGGGAAAGATTTCTCAAAGAAGCATTTGCTTGATATTTCTGAAGTACCTTCAGTTTTTTAGTGGTCGTTTAACCTTAAAATGTATCTCATATCCTTGAGCTGAGAGATGGATTGCTATCTTCATGCTTTTTCCGTATTAAAATAATAAAGTTTCACCAGGAGTACTTTAGAAGGTAGTAGTGGCACAGTGTGTTTTCAGGAAAATGCTGAATTAACTTATCATCTTACATGTAATTCAGTGCTTTAATTCTGTATGTTGTATTCTGACTTTAAAAAGGTTTGATATAATGCTGTAAGGAGGAGCTAATAAAGGGATAAGGCCATTTCCATTTAACTCTGTAAATGCCTTCTCAAAGAGGTGGATATGCTAAGGTTAATGTTCAGAGAGCAAGCCCCTCCTCTCCTCATTCCCAATGGACTGAAATCGGGCAAGATGAACATTAAAAAAACGAAGGGTGTTGAAGGAGTGGATTGTTCGTGTGAATATGCAGATGATATACCAAAAATGGGCAGTAATAACTGTAAATTTCCATCTATAAATAAATGTTGTGCATAACAGATGATATTATATAAGTTTCTGAATATGTCACAACATGCAGAAACTTGTGCTAGAGAACTAATAATTAAAATCTACTGGCATTGCAAAGGAATAAAAGAAGGATATCTAATAGTTTAATTATGTGGGAATAAAATCTGTGACCTTTGAGGAGGTGATACATATGTTTTTTTAAAAAAAGTGTTCTCTTATAATACATAATAAGTGAATTTATCAGAATAACTTAAAATATTGAAAGAATTGTGGTTTTAATCCTGCCCAGATATTCAACTCCAGCCTTCAAGTACTTATGCATGGCCTTTTTCTTTATACATCACATGAATTAATAAAGTAATTGTTCAATGAGATTGTTTCTGCAACATTTGCAGTTTATTTAGATATTTTTTTCTTAGCAGTAGTCCATGCCAGAAATGCATATGTAATTATTGATCTAGTATTGACTTGTAAATGTATTTCTTATATGTTAGATCTGAGTTGAAGTCATTGCCTTACAAGAAGTTTAATGTCTGAAAATAGTTTTGTATACTTTACTTGTGACTCATTGTATTTAAGTTGATATGTTACTTTTCTTGACCTTGAGCCTCCATTTTAGAGTTGAAAATAACGTATAATTGATAGTGTAGCACCACATGGTGGAAATAACTGTAAATTAAAATTCTTCAAACTCCCTGCAATATTATGTAGTTCTATGGAAGCTGCATTTTAAGGTAACTTAAAAATTCACTGAGCTATGAATTTTTTAAAAATTAACTTATTTTTGGATCACTATATTTATTTTTATATGAGTATGTGCATGTGCTGATAATACTATATTTATTTACTTTGAGGTAAAAGTGATTATTTATTCTTTAAATTTCATGTATATTCAATTTTCCTTACATAAACAAAATTTTAAATGTAGCGATAATGAGGATTTTTTATTCCTACTGAAGTTATCTGTGAAAACCTTCTTAAAAAATTAAATGTAGCAAATTTTATTATGTATGTGCAATTAAGATTTGAAATATATCCACACGAGGTTTTGATGTATTAATATAAATTAATAAAGTAGTATTAAAATTTTTCTCACATAAAGATGGAGATTTGGATCTTAGTCAGCCTGTTCCTCTTAATCATAATGCTGCTCACCATAAAATAGCAGTTAGGCCTAAACGAACGTATGGATTGCCTCGTCGCCGAATGAATCAGGTATTTTGTAATTTATTTTTTAACTCTGTATTTGTCTTATATTCAGTTGTTTATCTAAATTCTGCATTGCATTTTGTTTTGTCTCTCTGCATAATTTAAAATGTGCACAATTTCAAGAGAATCTTTTAACACTCCATCTTCTCCCCCTCCTGAATTTAAAGTGTACATTGGTTTCCATCAAGTAACAAATCATTGCAGTAAAATTTTAATATGTGATTTAAGCTCAAAAATCAGAAGTTTTTTAACACCTATAAGAACTTCTTAATTATAACACAAAGATATACATACGGTCATTTTTAATGTTCTTTTTACCTATTTTACTATTTAAAAAACATCTTAAGGCAATAAAAAAATTAAAGAACATTTAAATTAACAAACAAAGATTGTTAAACAAGAATGATAATAAATGTATTACAATTTTGAATTTTTTTACAAAAGCAGAAAATTTGTTGTTACCAAACATTGCCCCCCCCCAAGTTCTGCTATGCTGCCTCAATGTGGTGGGGGGTTCACTGCGCGGAGCGGGCGAAGCATGTCGGGAGTATACCTCCTGGTAGGGCGACTCTAGGCGTGAAGGCCGTTCCAACATGCCAGCTAAAGCATAGCTGGTGAAGATCCTTCAGGGGATTACTGTCTTGGTGATCGGGTGTCACAATCCTGGAGCCCCAGTGATCTCTCCTCCTTTCTGGTTCCTCTCCTCTTAGCTGCAGCTTTTCCCGTTTTCCTTCTTCCATGTAGTTTCCTCTTCCGAGGTTCGGGCTCATCATAAGAAACTGGAGCAGCCTTGTCCCTAGTTCTTCGAGTGGCGAGAATACTGCCCACGTGTTTGCCATGCGTGGAGACCCATGTCACTGGAAAGGAGGGTACTGGTTATTTGAGGGGCGAGGTACTGTCCCCAACACACTACTTTGGCCTCTGCATCAGTTAAATGGGAGGCACCTTTTCGTCCTCACGGGTGTCAATTGGCTGGTCCCTAGTCCTTGTGTCAGTGGCTTGGGGACAAGCTCTCGGGAGTACCTGCGTTTGGAAAAGCCGACTGTGGAACTTCAGTTTGCGTATAGGTCCGGCTAGCCCTGGCGTATCAATGTGCGTCCCTTTGTTGGGCTCCATGGTGGATGGTCCGGTCGGACCCGAATCTTTCTCCATTTAAATATGAATGCTATGATACCTTCCTGCTCCAACAATGTACCCTATACTCCGATTATGACCAAAAGACTAAGAAGCGACATAGAAAGCGCTGTATCAGATGTACTTTGTCCACGTTTCTTGATTATAACCAGCTCTGAAGAATTGAAAAAAAAAACGGCACCCTTTCTAATAAACAAACATCTTTTGTCTTCTGTAGGAGAACTGAAAAATATTAAGAGACTGCGGTCTGGAGACCTTTTGATAGAAACTGTGTCCGGAAAGCAGTCTAATAGTCTTTTGAAACTAACTAAATTAAACAAGCAAACATTGTAGTTAAGCCACATAACACTCTAAATTCGTCCCGAGGAGTAATCTCTGAAATATATTTACTGTCTTTAACTGAACAGGAATTTGTTAAAGAGTTGGCAGCTCAAAACGTGTGTGGTGCTTGTAGGATCAAAATATGGAAAGAAGGTCAACTCATTCCCACTAAGCATGTCATACTTACTTTCAAGTCTCCTAACCTGCCAAAAAACATCAAAGCTGGATACCTAAACTGTCCAGTCAGGCCATATATACCGAATCCAATGCGTTGCTTTCAATGTAAGCGCTTTGGATATGGAAAGACCTCTTGTCGCAGTAGCCTCACGTGCGCTCCATGTTCCATTGAAGCCATGCTAGTGAAGGCTGCTCTGCTGGTCCCTTGTGTATAAACTGTAAAGGCGAGCATCCAGCTTTTTCAAGATCATGTCCAAAATGGCAGAAAGAAAAACAAATTCAAAACATTAAAGTTACACAAAAGATATCATTTGCAGAAGCCAAAAGACTTGTTCTCTCTAATCGGCCAAGACCTAATAAATCTTATGCATCTGCAACAAAATCATTCAGATCACTATCAACGCAAACCACAATAACCGCACAGAAAAAAGAACTAGCAATGACAGAAGATTTTAGAAACCAAAAATCAGGGGGAAAACCTGATGTTGAAAGTAGTACGCCGGTGACTGCGCCCAATGGAAAACAGGATGCCCAACAGAACAAACATAGAGATGGTATCAAAGAGAAAAATAAGCAAAAACCCAGGACCCCCAGTCAAAGTTCTATTGCAATTGCATGAGTTCAGGACGTCTAGACGACTCAGAGACGAAATGGACGTTGAAAGAAGGGTTATCCCTTCCGAAACACCTTTTGCCTCGAAAGTCAAAACAACAACACCGCCGAAACAAGCATCCATAATGGGTACATTTATTTCATGGAATTGCCGGGGTTTCCCTTAAAACATGGATAATATCAAGGATTTAATCAACATCTATCAACCTGCTTGCCTTGCACTTCAGGAGATCTTGTTAAAACCAAGCAGACATGCTAAGATATGGAGATATACCACAGTAAGAAAGGACAACCCATCTGTTGATAGTGCCTGTGGTGGTGTGGGCCTTATCTCCTCCCACAATCACCCATATACTGCTCTCCCTTTGACAACCTCCCTTCAAGCTAGTTCAGATTAATTTACGCTTTTCAATCTCAGTATGCACTATTTATTTACCCCCACATGAGCATGTTGTTTAGCGAGAGTTGGACATTAACATTAACACCAAAGAAACAGCCCCTGCCCTGGAGAGCAGAGCTCTCCTTACAAGGTTTGATGAGCTGCAACTCCAGAACCGATCTGGTAGGGCGCCACCCCTCCCGATCGCTGCAGAGGGGAATTTATCCCTCGAAGATTTGGTCGTCAGTGCCGGGTCTGGCGAGCGACCATCACGAAGAGATCTACAGGGTCAGCTCCTGCACTGACTAGCTACATATGCAAAGTGGAACAAAGTTTAATTCCCTCAATCGGGGCACCACTCACGAGGTACTCATTTCTAAGGTACGTAAAGCCAAAAACAGAGTTCATACGTCCCTCCACACCGACCGGGAGGAATCATATCCTCTCAGACCAGCGTACTACTATCCACCATGTAGCTCCCCACAGCTTTGGTCGCAGACAAGACAATACCAACAGTCCCTGTCAAGCCTGAACGACCATCAAATAATCAATGGCTCTAGTCTTTCGCTGTGAAGAATGTTATTTTACTCTGCAGTTCAGAGCTGTCTAGACACATAAGTCTAGCCAGTGATCTGAAAGACCCGGGTCTCCTCCCGTAAATGGTCGGTTCCGGAAATCCCATTCAGCCAAGCCACAGAGATCTTTGTTCAGCATCCGTTAGCCTATACCAACCAGCTTTATAGCCTAGAGTTGTCCGAGGACAACCAGCTTTATAACCTGAGCGTCGGCATAGTTTCCAGCGGGCGCCACGAGGAGGCCGATGCTGAACTGTGGGAGACGAGACTAGGTCTCCATCCTACGACACCAACCCTTCGATCGAACGCTGGGTCTCCTGCCTTCCACCACTGTTCACGACGATCTCCCGCGCACGGTTCACGCCGCTCCCAGTGGCTTTCAGCCAGTTCCAGACATCCGTCAACCGGGACGGTGCCGGCAGTTCATCACCTAGGATCAAACACCAGGTCTCCTACCGCCAGCAGTAGGTTCTGGATATCTCTCTTCGGGTCAGAACGCCACCCGCCAGTGAGAGTTGGGCAGAATAATAGAGCAGCTTCCAGACCTAGGTGACTTCATAGTACCTTATTGGGAAGTAGGGACACTAATTCAAGGGGCCGGCAGATCGAACAACTAATGAAAGATCATTCTATTTGTCTCCTTAATAATGGAGAAATACACTTACTTTCATCAGCCGATTAGAACATTTCATGCAATTGATCTGGTTTTTTGTTCTCCATTTCTACTACATTTCTGCTCTTTCAGTGTAGGGGAGAATCTCTACGATAATGACCATTTCCAATTTATTGTAAATATTACAGGAAAATCAGTGATCTCTAGACAACCACGCTTACTTACGATAAAGCTGATCGGGATCTTTTTGCATCTTGTGCTGTGCTGACTGAAGAAATGGTTAACGATGTAGACATTAATACAGCAGTAAAAATTATCTCTGATACTATTGTACAAGCAGCTGAACTCTGTATTCCAAAGTCCTTGACAAAGTTCCCTAAACCCTGGTAGAACAGTGATTGTTATGAAACTTCGAGAGAGCAAAAGAAAGCTTGGCGTATCTTTCGCCGATATTCAACACTGGAAAATCTTCTGGCCTTTAAAAAAGCCAGGGTGAATGCAGGAAAAGTAAGGCGGCAAAGTCAGAGAAAATAATGTACAGTCTACGCTTCCACTATTACCTCCTCAATGTCTAGCAAACACGTTTGGGAAAGAGTCCGCAAAGCCTCTGGACTATATAATGATTATTCCTTTTCTGTTGCAGAAAAAAATTGAAAGATAAGCACTAGAGAAGAAATAGCCGATGCTTTAGGTGATACATTTGCTGCTGTATCTGGCTATAACAATTACTCAAAAGAGTTTCTGTCCACAAAGATGCGCTTGGAAAGGATTCAAATCGACTTTTTCCATCCTAATGCAGAATCTTATAATAAAGATCTCACCATGTTTGAATTAAGAAGTGTAATATCTCGCACTGATAGGACTTGACATGGTCTTGATGGCATCAGTTATTTGATGATAAAGCATGTACCATATGAATCTCTAGTGGTCCTTCTTCCTCTTTATAATAAGATATGGAAGGAAAAAAATTTTCCAACTGTCTGGTGCAGGGCCTTTGTTATCCCTATAGTAAAACCCGACAAGGACCCGAAAAATCCTTTAAATTATCGCCCCATCGCGCTCACTAGCTGCCTTTGCAAGATTCATGGAACAAATTGGTAAATCACCGTCTCACCTACTATCTGAAGACTAATCAATGCCTATCGCCTTACCAAAGTGGTTTCTGTAAGGGAAGATCTTCACTTGATAATGCCCTGTTTTTAGAAACCTCAGTACACAATGCATCATGTGGTTTCAATCTTCTTTGACATGGAAAAGGCATACGATAGAACTTGGCGGCATGGAACTTTTCATGACCTTTACAGCACTGGATTGAGAGGTAATTTACCCATCTTCATTCAAAACTTTCTGAAAGACCGCACTTTCTGAGTTAAGTTGCTGTCTCAAGTATTTGTACAACAAGGACGAATTGGTGTAGGTTCCTGCTTCGTTATCCCTACCAATAATAGAAATAAACCTCTGAAATACTTCTCTCTCAACTAGTAATTCTCCCTGATTAATGCCATTGGGATCATAATTGTCATTCAAGAGCTTCGACGGAATAAAGAAGGTATAAAAAGAGAATGCAGTTGTTGAAATCTGCTGATGATTTCTGTGAAAACTTTTTCTAGAAAGAAAACCACTTTTCTTATTAATTTAATTCCGCATGGAATTCGAATCACATTATTCTTCACCTGTCTCAACAATCCGCATAACTAACTCATAATAAAATAATGTTTCATGCGTAAAATATTATCCCCAAAATATGCCGCCCGGGGTGAACCATTCCCTCCGCTCCCTTCTAGCTACAGCAGTGATTTCCCAAACTTTCTGCGTATTCGAACTTTCACTGTAATTTGAAATTAGCAAGAAGTAAAAGTCTTTCTTTGATGTGTGCTAAAAATGAATATGGAAATATTTAAATCTTATTTTTATTGGTCTCTCCAATACGAATTTTGAAAAATGTATTGTTTTCAGATTGCTGCTGCCAAAGTCAATGCATTACCTTCCACACCTGAAGTTTTAGAAGATAATGGAAAATCCTTTCAAATGTTAGATATTTCAGAGCTGCAAAAGAGCTTTTCTGGTAATACTTTATATATTCCTTATTTTTCCAGTGATTTGTCAACTAAATGAATTTATTTTGATTTAGAAAATGCAGAGTACCTGAAGGTACATTCTATTTTTAATTTTACACTATTAATTAATTCTTTCACTATTAATATTAGAACATATTATATACAAGAAATTTAGGAGCTTTAGTTCACATTACAACTAGAACAACAAACCTATCAGAATGATGGATTAAACTTAGATGTAATATTATATTTTGACTTTATTGCATATCAATAATATGGGCACTGGTTAAATATTTCAATATTAGAATACTACCCTTGATTGTTTACCAAATGTTATACATTTAAAATTTATGGTATGAGAAACTGTTATTCAAGTATTTAAACAAGTAATGAAAGAAACTCGGGGAAATATTTTTTTTGTAATATTGTTTCATGTTTAATTGGATATTATCATTACTATTTTTACATTAAATTTTTATTCTTCTTACTACAGTTTATTATAAATGCTAATTTAATCATAGATATTTGTTGCAAAATGATAAGAAAAGCATTTTGGGTGTTAATATTCTATTGTATTTTTATATCTGATCTTAGAAACTATAATGCATAGTTTTAATGTACTAAACATAACAATGCAATAAAAATTTGTAGTGAATGAATATGTGGAGTGATATAATATGCATGGAATACATATAAGTCTCCGCCATTTGAAAAAAAATTGCGCGACCATTAAGTTATGGCTAAAATTGTCTGTTGTAAAACACAATAGAGTAAGGTCGCACATCTGCTAACAACACTGTAGAGACATTAGGTAATTTGGAAGCAGGCAACAGGAAAAATGAGCAACCGCCTTCGCCGGGAATCGAACCGCGGACCTCTGGAATATGCACCAAGCGTGCAGACCACCATACCTCGAAGGCATGCCAAAAAGATGGGAGAAATAACTTATAGCACAACCTTAAACTATTATATATTTTATATCAGCATCATATAATTTTATCGAGCAAAAATGCCGACTTCTTAGCCTAATGAGCTTCATTTCTGGGAACTTTTAATTTACTTCTTTAATCTGAAGAAATCTGCAGGCTCATCGATTGCTTGTCGAAACATATGATGAGGCTGCCTTAAATTGTCGTGAGTGGTTTCAAGAGTTTAAGAACGAATTTGACATCGAAGACAAAGAACGGAGCAGAAAGATGAAAGTGTGCGAAGACGCGAAATAGGAAGCATTATTGGATAAAGGTTTGTGCTGAACGCAAGCAGAACTTGCATTTTTATTAGGAGTGACTCAACAAGCAATTTCACATCGTTCACATCGTTTAAAATCATTAAGAATAATTCAAAAGCAAGGAAATTAGGTTCCGTATGAACTCAATCTGAGAAATGTTGAACGCCGAATTTTTACATTTGAAATGCTGCTTGCCAGGCATAAACGAAATGGGGTTTTTTTTGTATCGTATAGTCACTGCTGATAAAAAAAATTGGGGATCCACTGCGATACTCCAAAGAAGATGAAATTATGGGGACCATCTGGCCTTGCTTCAACATCAACAGCCAAATCGAATATTCATGGAAAGAAAATTATGTGTATTTGATGGGATCAACTTATTGCCATGTATTAGGATTTGCTCAAACCGAACAAAACCATTACTGAGGCTTTCTGCTGAATGCAATTGATGAGACTGAGCCGAGCACTCAAAGAAATATGTACCCACTACTACTCCAGACATGACAAAATTATTCTCCTGCATGATAACACTCAACCACATGTTGCGGCATCAGTCAAAACTTACTCAGACACAGTCAAATAAGAAGTTTCTCCCTCCCGCTGTATTCACCAGACTTTACTCCTTCCAATTATTACTTGTGTCGATTGATGATGCATGGCCTGTCTGAGCAACATTTCAAATTATGTGAAGATACTAAATATTGGCTTGATTTGCAGATAGCCTTGAAAGATGAAGCATTCTTCAAACGCGATATCCGTATACTGCCAGAAAACAGGAAAAATGTAGGGCTAGCGATGGCCAATACTTTGAATAAAACATAATGTATCGTTCTTTCATAATAAATGCCCAATTTCTGATAAAAAAAAAAAAGGCGGAGACTTACTTGTACTCTCTCTCTCTATATATATATATACATATATGTAATTGATCCAATAAGTGCCTTTCTTAAAGAACTATATCATTACAAATAAAAATCTGAGACATACTTCAAACAGCAAGTGTTACCAGTCTGCAGCAACAAAAGTAGAAAGTGATGTGCTCTCAGATGAAAATTCATTTTAAAGTGGTTTGGGTTTATGGTGCTATTTTTCTTCGTTTTGTCATAACTGGTTTTAATACGTATTTATATTTCTGAAATTATTATTTTCTAAAGTGTTTATGTAAGAGCCTGCGTCGTTAGGATTATGTTAAAATCCTGTGCAGCTATCAATCTGGAAATGAAAGCTTAGACTGTTTTTTAATTTCTATGGTGTAAATACTTAGCATGAACATAAGACTAAAGGGTTGATTAAAATGTAGAAACAAAAAATCTTTAGCTATTAACGTATAAAATATTGGACAATGTATTCCTTTTTATTTACTCAAATGTCTGAAATTTTATAGAACTCTTTACCACAATCTGTTTCTTGCTTTTTGTAACATAATAAAAATTTTAAAAATTCATCTTAACAGTATTTGTCATCTTAGTACTCATCAAATTCCTTTGCTGTGAAATTTCATGCCAATAATTATTTTGGTAATCTAAGGTTTTAACTTATATTTCCCTGTTAGTGAGCTTGTTATGAAGCAAATGCTTTTGAAGCAGTTTCTGACTGGATGTAGTTCTGTAGTCTTGCCTAAACATTGATTTGAATTTTCTTATTTTTATGTATAATAAAAATTGATGGGAATTTGTATTGTAACATCTTGGAAATTTGTATATTTTGGTGAAGTATATATGGGTTTAAAATCTGTAAACTGAATGTAAAAAGTAAAATAGAAAATACACAGAACATAATCTATGAATTAAGAATTTAAGTTTTTCTATAAGGTTATCCATACTGAACTATGATTCTTACAAAATTTTTACTTGCTAATGATATGCAAAAAAGAAAATTGCATAAGTAGCAACTTAACTTAATTGTCAAAATACATTAAAATTGCTATGTTAGATGCTAAAAATAAATAGTGTTTTTTTTTTTTCCTTTTCACAGAAATTTCATCCTCTTCAGTTAGTGAAACAACTTCAGTATTTTCTGGAGAAAAGAAAGCATCCCAGATATCCTCTTCACTTTGTTACAATGAATCATTGCAAGTCACAAGTGAGACTATCATTCATGAAGAAAGAAGTCTATTGGACAGTTCTTTTCAAAGCTTAAAAATTAATTCCGAGAACGATCAGGAATGGCATGTAAAAGAAACTCCAAATAAACTTAATAAAGATACTGTTACTGCGCTAGAAGTACAGGAAGATAAAACTGATGATATTAATTCTGTAGAAAGTGATTCCTTCAGCTGCACTAATAAGAGTACATGTGAGGCACCTTGTGATTTAATGCAGAATTTGGAAGAAAAACATACTGCTACAAGCAAAAATGACAGTTTTAGGCTTTCAAAAAGTAATTTTGAGGAAAGTTCAAAAAATGAATTTCTTCATGCTGAGGATTGTACTTTAACACGCAATGAACCAGTGTTAAGTGTATCTTCTCTTGTAAAAAGCATTGAAAGATCAAATTCTTTCAAGACTGCAGAAAAAGTAAGAAGTTCATTAGAGGAATCAAAGCATTTATTCACAAAAAATTATGCTCATCAGCTAATTGATTTTAGTTCTGAAAAGAAGACTGTTACTAATGCTGAAACTATTGAAATGAAAAGCAAATGTGATACTCTTATGGAAGATATATTAGTAAGTTCTAGTGAAATTGCTAATAAACATGAGAATATTTCACCTTCTCAAGAACTGAATGGGCAGCGCTTGATGGCATCTCAAGAATTTATTTCTGAAACTTTTAAGAAAACCGTTACAGAAAACTTAGATATTGAGAGTGAATTTGTATTAAAGCCACCAAGAAAAGAGGCAAAGCTTGAGAGTGATTTAGAGTCAGTGTCGAAGGAAAATATTGCTGATGAAGGGCATAAGGAAAACTCTGTAATATCTTCTAGGAACTTTGAAGAAGAAAGTATAATGAGCAGTAAATCTGTGTCTATGGGTATTGAAGAAAGTAGAATATTTGTGTCGCACCATACAACTTTTAATGATGATCTCAAAGATATACTAGTCACTGAAGCTCATAATTTTGCTGCTGTTGAAGAAAAGTCGGGAGTATCTGTTCAGACATGTAGTGATGCAGGTATAAAGAATGTGGAAAAAGCAAGTGTAAAGCAAGAAAGATGTGAAACTTGGATAAGTTCTGTTGGCATTTCAGCTCCAACATCGTCTATAACAGATGTGACAGTAAATGCTTCCACATCTACTCTTTGTGATAACAGAATGCTGGAAGATAAAATTACAATATCTGTCAATTCAAAATCCGACAATATGAAATGTAAGTATACAAATCAAAAAGATGATATTGCTAAACTGCCATTATCAGATACACTTAAATCTAGTTCGCCTAATTTAGATGCAAGCCAAAAGGCGATTCCAAAAGACAAACAAGCATTAAAAGCAGTGCAAAAGTCTCATTTACCTGAGGTTAATTCAAATATGACTAATGTAAAAAATGGGAATATTCAGAAACGTGTATCTGTTGAAATCGTCCCCTTTAGTCAAAGAATGAAGGAACGTAAATATCAACCGATCTCATTTGCCAATCGCGAAAATTCATCCGAACTTAATAAAAAGAATTCTAATGTGTTAGTAGAACGAAAATTATCTGATAGGAAAATGACAACGAAAAATAAAGAGCTAGACAAATCTAATAATAGGCATTCCTTTTCTGGAAGTCTTACCTCGGACATTAAGAAAGAGGTAGAACCTAACCTAGGGAAAAAAGTTTCAAAACCTGAAAAGTTACCTGTCCAAATCAGAATTCATAAATCTATTCCAAAATCGGAAATCAAAGATAAAGTGTGTAGCGATATTATTAATCCTAAAGAGGTGAAAAATACTTCTGAGACTGATATATCAGGTGAAATTAAATTTAAAATGCATTCTACTACAAAGCAAATCAAAATGATCTAAAATTTATGAAGGAGGAGAAAAAGACTTATGATAATTCTACAAAATGGGATGTCAAAATTCAACCAGCACCTACGCTTGCTAATGTTTCATCTTATATTTCTAATAGTGAAGGAAATGTTTCTCCTGTGATGCCTCAAACCAATTTGCAATTAAGAAATGAATCTCCAAAACCTCCTCAATTATCTGAGAGTGAATGCAAAGACTTTCAGTTTAATGAAGAGTCAGAATCACAAAATAAAAGTCAAGAAAATAGCTGGAGACAACAGAAAGAAGTACCAACTTTAATCACTGATGATCCAGAACCTGAACTACTTCGTGTTTTTGCTAGAAGATCCATTAAACAAAAACATAGTGACAAAGGAAGACCAGGCGAAAAAGATGAAAAGCTCATAACAGATACATCCTCTGAAGATTCTTTTCATTTGCAAGAAGAAAATACTGAAATGATAAGTGTTTGCCAAAACAGCACAGTTATTAAAATTTCGGAAGTTTCAAAGCCACATATCACTAAACCAGATTTAAAGAAAAAATCAAAGTCTTTCTGTGAGAAAGGAAAAGTTACTCCAAGGAGTGTGTCACCCTTGAAAGAAATTAATTTGATACGTAGAGAATCACCTTTGAAATTTTCACCTGCAGATCCTCCTTCTTGCAATGACACTATACATCCAAGACAAAGGCTAGCAAGTGTTCCTGATGTTCCTTTAAATTTACCTCCTGATAATGATAAGAAAAACACTCCTAGAATCTCTCAGACTGAATCCAGCTCTGAGATTCATGCTCCTTCATCAGTTAAAGAGGAACCTCAGCAAAGATCAAGCTCTGTTATTGTTCCATCACCTACTACATCAATGAATGGAAGCCTTACAAGCACAGGATTGGTAAAAGAAAATCAGGAAATATTGACAGGCAAAGAGGCCCATGCGCCTGCTTGGTTACAGCTAGCACAACAACGGCGTGAACTCAGGGAGCAACGAGAAAGACTTCTTTTAGGAGGCTCCCCTAACTCTTTCATAGATGTAAGTTCATATTATTTCATTTTAGTATTTATGGGTAAAACTTTCATACATTCATTCAGCCAAGCTTTTTGGATTGATTTAATTGTATGCTTTATTTTAAATTATAGTTTATTTAATAGGAAATTTATAAGCAGATTCAAGAAGAAAATTCAACACTCCAGTATTTTAGGTTAATTTTATACTAGTTTTGATTAACTTATTTCTTTTAAGTAAGAGTGATATTGGAGATTTTTATCTGCTTCGTTGATAATTTGTTGTTTTCGAGAATTTTCTTGCTGGATGAAAGGTATATAAGATGTTAAATAGATTAGCTGCTAGTGACCATCAGCCTGTGGGTCACCAGTAATGAACAGCATTATCGAGCACCTATATCCTTCAGTTTAATTTGGAAAATTTTAATCTATCTAAATTTACTGTATCGTGTGATGTGTGGGTTGATTGCCAGTAACTGTCAATATGTAAGTTGTTGATCACCTGTATGTTCAATACAGCGGTCACCCATGTTGTAAATTTAGGTAAATATTGACAGTTTTAAATTAGTTAAAGTTTTTAAATTAGAATTAAATCGAAGCACACTGGTGTTTGCTAAGGCTGTGGTCACTGATGACTTTACGTTTATAGTCCCTTTAGTCAACTCATAGGCCCTGGTATAAGTTGATGTAATAAATGTAGAAACATTTCTTTTAAAACTACATCCGAAGAGCAGTGTTACTCATTAAATGCAGTGACTGTCACTTGGTCAATAATGATCTTTGTGTACTGACAGACATTCATGGTGGGCCAATGCCGCGCATGCAGCTGGCAAAATTTAGGGGCGCTAAATTCAGTCGGTATCATGTGAAGTGAAAGTTACCTGTTCAAGGACACTATCCAAGTTTTTTTTTTCTTTCCAAAAGGGATTAAAAAAGGCCTTTTTTATTCAAAGGCCAAAATAAATTATTAAATTATATATGTATATATAATTATATAGGGGTGCACAAAAACCTTCGCGCAGGTGTTCCCCCCCCCCCAGGAATGAACCTGTGTACCAGCAGGCAATCCATGGGTCATCGGTGTAATACGATACAGTAAATTAGTTGGATTGTTAAAATTAAGCTGAAGAGCACTGTAAGTTATCAAATGCCGTGACCGGCAGTTTTGTCACTGGTGACCTTTGTGTACAGCAGTCAGCATATGGGGCACCACTATAACTCAATACAGTAAATCAGATGGATTGTTAAAATTAAAATGAAGAACATGGTGATCATCAAAACCACTAGCCATTAGTGACTTATAGGTCAGCAGTTACCAAAAATAAATGAATGGTAAAACATGCTAGCATAACGTAATGTTCCAAAAACTTTGAAAAGAGTCAAGTAAGGATATTTCTAGAATCAAAACACATCATAGCATTAAGGCCATCATATGTTTATCTGTTTGAAATGACTTTTGAATTCCTAAGAAACACATGCTTTTTTCGTTGTCTGATTTTTTATTGCTTAAAGAAATTATCGTAAAAATTTCTAACTTTCTTTTCATGATAACAAATATTGCTGTTGTAAGTTACATCATTAAATAACAGATGTTACTTTTATATATCAAGAACATCAGTTCTGCGAAGGGGAGAAAAACATTAATCAGAAAATCAAGGTAATTTCTAGATTCGGGCAGTTTTTAGTCCAAAGGGCATTAGCCGACCGAGAAGGGCTATTAATTTCGTTTTGGCATTTTGCATTGAAAAATTTAAATAACGGTTCACTTTTCAAACTGTTGCCACCAAATATTACAGCCCTGTATTATATTTAAAGAAATTAAATAATGAAGAATCTGCATAAATGCATGTATGGTTCTCGCATTGTGATAAAACAACGGTATCTACAGCCATCAAATTCTGAATAACGTACGTTTCTACCTGAATATGGGCATCTGGAAGCCCGGATTTGTTTTAGTATCTATTACATATTTTGTAAAACTTTAATGAATTTTTGATTAACAAACTCAACAATTTCAAAGCGAGCAATGGCAACACTGTTCGGGGGGGGGATTTAATCTCCAGCGCGCGAGACTATGTATCGGAAATTCTAAAGATATGCTCATTATAAAATTATTTTGCGATATTGCTGTTGAAATGGAATTTTATGGTTTAAGTGCGAAGAACATGATATTTAATAAATAAAAGAAACCCATAAAACGTTAAAAAAAAAAAAAAAAAAAAAAAAAAAACGCACCTTTGGGCATAATGTAAAATCTGAAATTCGTATTTTGTATTTTATTAGTCCAAAGAGGCAATTTGCCCAGGACTATTAATTTCGCTTTGACATTTTGCGTTTATTCACTATAAATGTCGGTCACTTTTCCTTTTTTTTTTCTTTCTTTCTTTCTTTTTTAATGCCCGATTTTACATGACACTCTTCAAAGCCGATATCGCTAAATTCTTGACCACCCAGATAGGCTAGTCAGTTCGCAAAGCGGCCGCCTAAAGTTTATTAAGGGTAGCTCCAAGCCAACAGAATAATTTTTTTTTTCACCCGTGCATCCCATTCAGCGTGAGCCACCTCCCTGAGCAGGAAACAGTTTCATTCTGTTCTGTTCTGTTCAATGCCTAAGGATGTTATAAATTTTAAAGGTAGCTGACTGATATTAATTGCATATCCATGCAGTTTAAAAAAGTAATTTGAAAGTTTCCTCTGATCAGTCTTCATTTTTTTTGGGGGGGAGGGGGCCTTAGGGCAGGGTTCATCAGATCTAAAATACTGTATCATTAGTACGTAAGCTTTCTCATTTGGATCATATATGAACCTAAATGAGTATGTTTAAACAATATCGATAAATCTCTTTATGTCACACCTACGCTTTATGTAAAAAGGTAGATTGTATTAAGTATCTCAGCTTATTTTGTTCCGGTGTAGTATGTCATAAGCACAGGAGGATACATTGTATAAATTTGCTCAGCAATAACCTATCAGGACATTGCTCATAAATAAGTATTATGTGATATTTAACTCATGAATTAATATCTCAAATTTCTCACATCATCTTAAAATTGCTAATTTTGCTTAAAACGACAGAATTAAAATATTTGATAGACAACAAATGCATTCCCCAAAAGACCTAAATTTATAATTATATTGGTATTTATTTTAGAGGTAAATCTATCCCTTTTGAGTGTATCGTGCACATATATATTTTTAAAGAATGAAATTATTCTGTGCCATCTTGCTAAAATCTGGTCACTTAAATAGATTATATATAAAACCTTCTAGCTGTTGCCTAAAAAATGGAGCTTCTAGTTTCTTAGACGTACCCTGATTATGTAAAGACTTTTATCTTTTTATATATATTTTTCCTTTTCCTCAACTTTGAGCCAGTACTGCTTTCGCAATTTTAAGATTTTACAGAAGACAACATCTTTTGGAAGTTTCTTGCGCCGCCAATCTTTTAGAAGTTTCTTGCGTCTACGATCACCCTCCTCGTAGGTAATAATTTTTACAGATCGCACCCAACATTTAACAACCCCCCACCACCACACACACAAAGCTTAACAGGATAGGACATTCTGAACACTTGTTTAAATAAGTAGTCCTACTATTGGGCACTTTGAACCTTATCGCATACTTTTTCCAAGAACTACAATTTTTTGCTTCTACAGAGCAGCTTTGAATTCTACAAGGAACACAGTTTGGTCGTCTGAAGAATTAGGTATATTTTCGTTTTGAAGGTCGTCCTTAGTTTTCAGTAAGTTTGCCTTTTCTTTCTTTCTTTCTTTCCCCCCCCCACCCCAATTTTTATTTCCAATTAGTTTCCAGTTTTTAGCTGTTAAAGCTCAGACTTCATTTTATTATTTAAAGAATCTTTATGAAAAGTTTTTCGTTTTCTTGGCATTAAAAGTTTAGTTTAGTATAGTCGGGGACCACCAAATTTTTTAGTGTTGTGTAAACGACAATTTGGTTTAAAGTACATTTGTTTTGCTTTTTATATTTATTTGCTTTTGAATTTCGGATTTGCATATAATGATTTTAAACCAATTTGATTTTTTTAATGGTAAAGTAAATATAAAGTTTTTTTTTTTTTTTTTAAAGTAGTCAATTTAGCACAATGTTATCTTTTATTCCTTTTACCAAATGTTTTGAAGGCATGCAGGAAAAATCCTGGTATATTTGCGATTCGATTTTTCGGTTTTATATGAATTTTAATGTCTTAAATGAAAATTTAATAGATTCTTTTTTTCGGTTTTCGATCTCAAATGAACCAGGAGAACGAAACACGTTTTCGAAGCACATTAATCGACTTTTATGAAGCTTTCATCTTCCCCTGATGAGTTCTGAATTGGAGTTTCAGTTAAAGGAGATTAATTTATATATATATATATACTATGTTGTATTTTTTTTCTTTTGCATTTTCATTTTTATTGAGTTTGTATTACTATGGATTCTTATGTTATTTTTGATCTGCTTTGGATATTGTGTTGTAACTCTTATACACGATTGCAATTATTAATATTGTTGATGAATAACCTTGCTTTGACTCCAGTTTACTTTTAACTTTAGATTCTTTAAGTCTCTCGCTCTCTCTATATATATGTGTGTGTGCATGTGTGTGTGTTTTTTAAGAAATAAAAATATGAAGGAAAATTATTCCCACCTGAAATATTTTTTCGTATATAATTACTATTTTTATTTTGGCCTACCAGCGGTCGAGCGATAAATTCGCTAAAGTTCGGTCCGAGGTTCAAATCCTACGAGCGGGCTGGCTGCAGGGGCGTTTTCGTGGTTTTCCCCATGTGTAACGTGTATACGAGCTAGTTCCCTTAGAAAATCCTCCACGAAGGCATCCCTCTTCTTAGGCAGATAACCCTTGAATGCTAGCTATCCAGACGGTATAGTGGTTAGGGGAGCCTGACTGCGATACCGAAGGGCCCAGGTTCTAATCCCAGAAAAGGCATGGATGTAAAATTGTCCTGTTCCTTCACAGGAGGTAACATTGCCATTTATAGGCAAGTGCCCACCATTGGAGGGGTAACCCTCGAGTGCTTTGCCATAATCAAATAAACCAAGCCAGTAAGTCAACTATTTTTATTTATTCATTTTTTATATAATAGAGTGAAGCTTTATTTATTTTTAAAATAATGTAATTTTTAGTTGCAGTTCAAAAAGACCAGTTGCTTTTAAAGTAGAAACGGAGGCTTTTAAAAGTAACTGTCGAGCAGCCCATTAACCACTGGTGAATTAATATATTAATCTCTTATGCGTATTTCCATATAAAGTGAAGATTTAGGTATTTAGAGCTGCGTGGTTTTCTACTTTTGTACAAAATAAGTAAATTAGAAATATCTTAATAATAATAAAAAGCATAATTTCACTAAAACTATTTCAGATGATGTTAAAATGGCCACCACTTCTGGCCTTAGGCGTGGCCATTGCCATTTATAGGCAAGTGCCCGCCATTGGGGGGGGGGGGGGGGGTAACCCTCGAGTGCTTTGCCATAATCAAATAAACCAAGCCAGTAAGTCAATTATTTTTTTTATTCATTTTTTATGTAATAGACAATAGAGTGAAGCTGGGCATGGAGATAAGTTATGTTGTTACGCGCGTACGAGTTCATAATAGATTGAATGCACAAAGAACTTATGAGAGCTTGATAAATTTATTTTATCAAAATAAACACTTCACAGCTCTGTAACTTTTTCACAAAAGTACTCGTACAGATCTACACAGTATGACGGAGTACAATCAGTAGTTACATTTCAAACTGCTAAGAACGTTAAGCAAAACGCAATGCAAAGTGCATATCAAAAGATAAGCTCACACAGAGATATCTCAATACTCTGAATTAACACTGAACTAAACTGAGAAACTAATGCTCTCTCCGATTTTATATAGTTTTCCTCTGGCCGCCGAGAAATATAGTAAATTACGTTTCTCGAAATTACTGGAAGGCATATACGGTTACAATTACATCTAAGAGCCGAGTACAGTTAAAATACCTATTACAGTTATATAGGGACCGACCCCAAATGTCGCCAAGTTTAGCCACTTTGTGTGATTTTTTGCCAATTTTGACGAGATTGCCAATTTCTCAATGTTAAATATACTTGCTCCCCAGGGCCAGCCCTAGCGGAGGGGCAGGCAAAGTGGTGTACAGCACGCGGGCAGCGAAATGTTTATCAAACATATATTTCTCTAAAAAAGGGCAGCCAATTTTAATTTGCACGTGGGCAGCTGACGGTATCTAGGATCGGGCGCTGCTTCCCTATGTATTCTAACCTTTCCAGGAAAGCTTCGCTTCTTTAGATTTTAATGTTTTTTAAACCCCCCCCTCAAAAAAATACTGCAGTTACTTTTCTAAATTTGTATATTTAAAATGCTCTCCTAAGTTAACCATTGCATTTATAATTGTTTTCTTTTACATTTCATATATTCGTAAACAGCTTCATTTGTAATAAAGAATGATGCATTTACGATACCTAAGTATGTGCGCTCTTGATAATCCTTTCTTTTGGGGGGGGGATCTGGAGCTTTTTGGAAGTTAGTCTTATTTGCAGTAGCTCATGGAGTGCATAGGTCAGGATAAACATTACAACGGTAATATCAATACGGCATTCTTGATATAATTTTTGCCAACGAATAGCATGAGTGTGAACATAACATCAGAAGTGTTCCCAAATAAATATTTAATGCAGGACTTTATTCAACCGGAACCCCATTCTGGCACTTCTCGGTTTTTGAGTGTAATTCTAACTCCAACCGGAGTTCCAATTATGATGAGCTCCGATGTTTTAACTTATTTTTAAACTATTTCTCGTTAATTTAATTTATTCGTTTTTATTAATCTTTTTACACTTAATTTTAAATGTTAATTTTTATTTTTTAATTATTTTTTATTTATTCTCTCTTCTTTGCCGGTCATCAATACATTGGGCTCTGTCACTTTTAATTTTAGAAATAAAGTCCTGGTTTAATTTCATCTGAATAAACATGTCACTGGTATTTTACAGTCTTCTTCAAACCCGCCGAAGTTTGTGGCGCCTTTTTTCTAACAATCAACACCAGATCCATCTAATCTTGACTATTGTCCTGCAGGTTTTGATTTTTGGGACTTTTAGGCAGTCTACCCATTTGAATTTTGATTTGCCTCTTATTCGGATGCCAGCTACTTTTGCTGAAAATAACTCCTTTGTATTCGATCATCTTATATTCAAATTTCGCGGCTAACTGGTCGAACAACCAGTGCTGAATGCTCTTATCAGATCGGCCGCCAGTGGGTTGTCGTCTGTCAGAAATTTTGTCTATATTTTAGATGTGTAGATGAGCACAGATATGATTAGATGCTTACAAAGTATCATTTTAGTTTCGTTTAGTCAAGTTCTACTTTAAAAGTTTTCATAAAACATAAATACATCATTTTGCCGCAGTACTTGTTTTTGTAGTTCTCTTGTAATATTGTTGTTATTAATGGTGAATTCAAACTTAAGCAGGTAAACTGTTAGCTTTTTCGATTTTGTTACAACCTGTCTCCAGATAGGTATCAGGATTTTTTTTTAGTGCACCATATGTTTAGTTTTATCTTGATTTATTTAGAGATTCACCTTCCCTCCACTCTCCTCGAACCCTCATAAGCTTCTTTTAGATCTGTGAGAGCCTTGGCTGTTTTACTAACGTCATCTTCAAACAAATACAAGAATTTGTACAGTTTTATGAAGATGTACCGGCTCTTTGAGTCTCAAATTATTTTCTCCAAATCTACGATCAAGAGAACACGTGGCCGTGGTTCTCACTGCATAACAACATTTTTTTATTTCCATTAGTTCTGAGAGGCTACTTTGAATTTAAACCACAAGCTCATTCCATTTGGTCAGTTTTGGAGTCATCCTGTATGATTTCTAATGAGAGAGAAACAAATCTAGAGTTACATAAGCGATGTTGATTTTTATGCATAAACAGAAAGTAAATTATGGTGAAAATTCTTTCATTTCAAATCATAATGATCTTTAAATGGCTTTATTAAGCTTTCTAATATTATTATTAATAATCTAATAATTCTAATACTTTCTAATATTGTTATTCTGATATACTGATATTCCTCACAAATAATTACCGTAAATATGTGGGCTGAAATCAACTACTTTAGTCTTTCATCTAATTTTGTGCTTTAATATATGACTGCTTATCTCTTTTAAGTAAGTGATTATCATATGTTTCAAATAAAATATTGGAAATCAGTAACTTGTCCAAGAATTATATACCTGCGTATAAGTCGAGATATTTTGGACAAAAAAAAAAAAAAAAAAAAAAAAAAAGACTTCAAAGTGGGGGGGTCGACTTATACGCGGGGCCATAAAAAATTAAAAGAATCGGAAGTTCAAAAATTTCTTTATATAATGCAGTTGTATTCTTCCCGCACTCAAATTGGACGACTTATCAAATAAGTCACTTACTTGAAGTAATTTCATGACTTAAATTATGTGACGAACTAATCACAGAGTTTCATACTTTAACTAGAGTAAGTTTCGAATAAACCAAAGAATTTTCGGCCCCCGAACAACCGATCAATATCGAGCAATAAAAATTTTTCGAAGTTTCTCGATCGATTTCGGAAGTGGGGGTTTCTTATTTTCTACGAATTTTTTATGTCGAAGTGAGGGGGTCGACTTATACGCGGGTATATACGGTAAAATATCGATGTCAATATTTAAGCTAAGTCATCAGTCTCTGATAATATTCGTAAGTATTTCACAAATAAAACTATAAAATGGCATATGACTGATTTGCAAAAATATATTATTTTTTAATAATAGAGTTTAAATAAAGATAGAGTATTTATGGGTGAACAAAGCGTCACGTAATCGTGGTTAGTTGCGGTATGAAATTGCAGTGTTAGACATATAACATGTTAAATTAATTTTTAGTTAAAATAACCTAAAATTACTGAGTCTGGAATTCCTTGTATTGTCAAGTACTACTGATCCTTTGTGCTGAAGTTTAAATTTGGGAATTTTATATTAAAACAAAATTTATAGGAAGTGACTATATGAAAGTAAGATTAGCTGTTTATTATAATTTTTAGTTTTATACAAAACTCTTAACACAGTTGTATTTTTGTTAAAAGTATTGAAATTATAATGCAACCAGTTAATAAAATTTTCAAAATTATGATAACTTTCTTTTTCTTTTAGGCTTCCAATAAACCATCAAGGTCATCAAAAGTATGGGATATGGTCAACAACTTTCAAAAATTACAGATGACCTAAATTGCAATGGGAAACTTTTGAGATGCATAATAATGCTGTTTATTAAGCTCAGTTATGTATGAGTGTACAATTACAAATGATTGCAGCTTTTGACTTACATGTTATAAATGTGTTTCTGCAATTTAATACAATGTAAATGTTTTTGACACGCAGCTAAAAGATGTGAAATATTTCGTCAAAAAATATTGTATGAAGATTTGTCTGTGCTAAGGCCTAACCTGTGAGATTATGAAAACTTACAAAAGGTTAAAGGTTGATTTTTATAGTAAAACTGGAAAGAGATACAAATAAACCTAGTGAAACTACATTATGTAATACGTTTTCTTATTTATGATAAGTATCATATATGAAAGATTTTGCATGCAGAATATTTTATAATAAAATGTACCACAAATTAATTTTTTTACAAATAAAGCTAGAAACTTTGTGGCATAACAACACAAAATTTGATTGTCTAAAAGAATACATTCATTTAAGTCTATTTCATAAAAACATTCAACATACTGCTTAAGAATGTGATGCATTTTTTATTGTAAGTTAGCTTCTAATCTTTCAAAAGATAGAAATTGCCCTTACATAGTTCTCTCTGTCATACTTTTCTTACTCCCTCAGGGTATTCTTTAACACAGATGTATGCCTTTTTAAAAATTTCTGATGTCATTGAAGTTGTGAAACGATGTACAAGAAATTTTACTTCACCACCTTCTGTAGCAGTTTTGGGATTTTTTCTTAAAGAGGCTACCTTAAATTTAATACATTCTAAACATTGCTTGTTTCTACACAAAGGGTTCACGTTCACAAATCAATTAACATTTCCTAAACATGTAAAACTAATCTTTAAATTAAAAAAAGTAATCACTGAAAATCTTGATCTAGTTTACGTTTTTGAATGCATGTAAAATGCAAGCATTGTAATCAAAATTCACTGAGAAATGAATTATTATAATCCATTACATAATAGTTTTCACTTGAGCATTTATCTGTTATATAAAGGTGACCAAGAATTATTTGTTCCAAAAATTATATGATGTGCAATATTTTCTTAATGTAAAATAGTTGTAATTTAATATTTTAAAAGATTAAATTTATATCTTAATATTTTAGTTAAAAATAATTATAAAAGTAGTATTTTGAAAATGAGTTGGAAAGCCGTGTAATATTTTCATACTGAATTCACAGTAATATTCTATATTGCATCTGCTTTCTAAATATTATAATTATGAGACTATATTTTCTACAAGAGTTATGAAGAGAAGTCTTAAAAATTAGAAAATTATAAATCTTACTTTTTACATGAATTCAGAATTTGTATTGTTGCAAAACGAATTTCGCATTTTCAGTTTTCAATAGTTAATCATTTTTAAGCAATGTATGCATGTTTCATTTTAACTTAAAATTTATTCCACAAATAAGTATTTTTTAATAAACACCTATTCCTCAAATAAATTTTTTTTTTGAATTAACATATATTTTTTATTTGTATAATAAATAATCGTGAATATGCTTTGTTCACCATTTATTACTTATTCAAGACATTTTAACTGAATGCATCTAACCAAAAATCTGAATACTGATCTTTATTTCTAGGAGGCCGGTACTTTCAGTTTATGGATTAAGAATCCCTCGCTCTCTTTTAAAATTTCCTTTTGTAATTGGCATTTAATCTATTTTTTACACTTTAGAAAATTTCGGAATTAGCACTCTTATTATTTATATTAAAGTCTGCACTTCAAGAAAAGCTGTGATATTTCACCAATTGTTAAAAAGGATAAAACTAGAAGAAATTTGTCTTTGGTTATCTTAAGTAAAGTAGCCAATATTAATAAATAAATTGTTTATAGGCCAAAAATTTACCTAACATTTAAGGTGACAAAATTGGAAGCTGAAAGCATACAAAATAAGGCTTTGAATGGTACATTTCTTTTGTTAAATATAGGATATCCATCTTCTAATTGCCTCTTCCCTCAAATCCTGATATATAGTATATATTATTATAGGTTAATTATTGCCTTAAAATATTCTCATATAATTTCATATTATTTTACTAATAAGGTATAGTGCATTATTTTTCATACATGACAGACATTTTTTAAATTTATATTGTCTATACTACTCTAAATGCAACTGATATTAATAATCATTTGCTTGTATAATGCATTTGGAATAATCATATTGTGGATTTGCCGAAAGTATATTGTGATACTCATATTTTTTCTGTATACATTAATTCCTATTTTAGTGCACTTTCAATTTCAAGTCCTGTTAAAACAGATTTTAAGAAATTAGTTAAGGGAATGTGCTTTAAAATTTGTTATGAAGTATGATTTGTTTTAAATTTAACCGGTTATTAAATCATTTGATGGGAAAATATTTTCAAAATCATTTTATAAAATGCTGTATTATTTCTTTCTGTACTTGTTTGCTGAATGCATTAATGGATGTCAAAAATTAAGACACTGTTCATTTATTTCATTTAAGAGTCAAAGTTATTACTAAAAAGAAAATACTCTTTAATGCAAAATGTGTGAAGCTGGTCTTGACTGTCCTAGAATGTCCTTAATGCTAATTAATGTGTAACAGATCTTCCTGCTACATAATATGCTTTTAATTTGTGTCTATATTTTAAAAACTTACTATATGGTGTCTGCCATATTTATAACATTATCATAAATCTGAAATCAACAAAAGCCTGCTTATGTTCAAGATAGGTAAATTTTTACTGTGTTGAATTTTTGTCTACACACAACGTTTTAAAATATAATTTTGTGTTCTTTACTCTTAATCTAATGAAAGGAAATTATGAAATTTTTAATTACTGAAGAAAAAAAAAATTCCTTAATCATTTAAATATTAAGAGAAAAGAAGGCAAAAATGACCGAAAATCAAAGAAGAAAAAGTAGTTGAAATTCCTTAACATACTACTGGAAAGAAAACTTGTATCTTAATATATTTGTCAGATAAGGATTCTTCCTTTAAGTGCAGTTTTTACTGTGTTAGTTAGTCAGTTAAGGCACAGCATGCATGGTCTATCTATATAAGAGAAGACATGTCTTTGTAGAGCATTTTCTGAATGAAACTGACTCATATTTATATTACATATCTGAAAGAGCATGAAAATACTCATGAAGCCATCTCATTCTCTATTATTGCATAATACCATCTTCATAACATCTGCATTTGACGTAGCTGGTAAAATCCAACATTCGTTTGGAATTAAATCCATATGAAATAACTTAGTGCATTTCGTGAGCAAAATCAAATATTTAACTATATTTAAGTTGGGTATTTAAAATCAATGCTAAATAAATGTTTTATCTATGACTAAACTTGAAGCTGATGTGTGTCTTTTGGGATGTGTAAAATAAAATTTTCGACATCACTTTTAATGCTTCTTAACATTTAAATCTTTAAAAGAAAAGAAAGAAAATAGGTGATGTTTCTCAGTATGAAGGCTGTGCTAGATTTATCTTCATAATATCATTTTCAAGTGAACTATCTTCACGTTTTCTCCAAATGCCTTTTTTTTTTTTAAGATGTCATAAATATAAAATTTTTCTTCCTATAATTAATTCCTTTTTCAAATCCCCTCCCACAGAAAACAGACATGATACAACATCAGGATCATTTGGCATTAATTGCTGAAGCTTTATGAAGAGAACTATCTAATATTTGCAGAATTTCAAAGTATTTTTAGGTATGGAAAAACGCACATTTTTATGTAAAACTGCATCCCCCAATCAGTTACATAATGAGAATATCATGTTTCCGAAAAGGTTTTAAAATTTTCTGCATAAAGTGTTCTGAATTAATTTTAGTTCCTTACTCCACATATGCAAAAATCCCAGTCTAAGTGTTAACAGCATTAGGAGTAACCATTGATGAAATTAAATCTAGTCTTCATTGACGCCAACTAATACACTAAATGTCTGATTTTGCTTTGGGGCTTGAATCTTAAAAAGAGATCCAAACCTAATTTATTGTTAGGAATTATAATTTTCAGAAAAGCTTGTACAAAGGTCATAAATGCTACTCAATCACTTTTACGAATTTTTCACTTGGATAATCATATCCAAATTTTTTACGGTATCCTTCCATCAGTATATATTTATTTCTGGAAGAAGGAAAAAAAATGAAAGATATGTTGGCTACTTGAAACCTATGAGTTAGTTGTTACATTTTTTGACTAAGCTCTGAAGCAGTTCGCCTTTGCATCATAACCATACACCTAACTTTACATCACATCACATCACATCATAGCATAACTTTTAATTTGTTAATCTGCTTTTTTCTTAAAATCTATCTTGACATAAAATCTCACTTTTCCATTCAAAGTATCTTTATTGATGAATGTAAAAAATGTGCTAAATTTTCCTTGCTCAGAGTGACAGATAAATAAGCAAGTATGAAAATAATTTGCAATCATGTATTTGAAATATTATTTTGTTAAAGTATGGTTACTTGACTTTAAATTTCTTAAAGTAAGATATTTTAGATATTGAAAATGGATGCATAAAATTTACCAGTGCTGAAATTGAAAGTGAATACTTCCAGACTTGAAATTAAACCAGACTTGACACCATTAAAAATAGGGATGGTTTTAATCTTCTTTCAGTCTTTGTACCTTTACTTCTATGTTTTTGTGATGAGTATCTTATTTTAACTGATATCACATTAAAAACAGTTCACTTTATTTATCACCGACTGATATTAAATACATTTTTATTAAATATACGGATGCTTCATATGTGGAGGCTTGCCTGCACAACAACAAAAATCATTATAATAATTATGGGATATGTGCATTGATTTCTGATAATTTCATTTCAGCGATTATGCAAAACAATATTTATACGTTATGTGTCGCCAAGGATACTTATAATACGCCAAGCATTAGGTACCATGAAGAGATATTCTTTATGTATTTCAGTTTGAAATAAAGTTTCAAACTTTAATATTAAAAGACATTGAATGTTATTCAAAACTATGATATTTGCATGCTATATATGTAGAGTTTATTTTATTACTACAGCATTAAATTTTACCCATTTTCATTGTAATTTTTTTTTGTTACTAAACAGAAATATGTTCTCGAAATAATTTTACTCTAATTAAAATAGAAGCCATAATGAACATAATTTCTATAACACTAAGTTAGGAGCTACATATGATTGCAAGCATTTTATTTGTAATTGTTTTCTACCACGAAATGTATGTCTATTATACCTATTATTTTTAATTATAATGTTTGTAGTCTCATTCTCATAATATACTATTTTCAGCAGGAAAGCAATGCATTAATCCATCTAAGCTAAATGAAAGTTTACAGTTTATGACTTTAAATATGTGACAATTATGCAATATTTTAGAACAGCAAAGTGACAGCTAATAAATGTATTCCAGGATTAATGTCTAAATTCAAAATATGTAGCATATACTTTTGTGTCCTTTACACAAGTCTTCATAAATTGTAATAAAAGTCAGCAATTTTTTCAATGTATTTATGAAAACTAAACATGTAAATATGTGTTAATGTTGTAATTAAATTAGAAATATACGTAGATTTTTTTAGTGATATTTGTATACTCCATTGCACAAAATAATTTTACATTATTGAACATTTCATCAATTGAACATACATTTCATCTAATATTAAAGTCATTGGAAGCAATTTTTGTGAAATACAATACATTGTTAAGCCCCAAAATTTTTATTTTATAAAATAAAACGAATGTCAAAGCTAAGATAATGCTTAAAGCCAAAAAAAGGAAAAAAGAAAGAAAAAATTATTTCTTTGAAACAAATATTCTAGCATTAAATTCTACAGATTTTAACAACATTTGATTTACATATATTTTTTGGTTTATTTGGTTATTTTTAGATTTCTGCAAAGTACATATATGTATGTCTGTTTTGTCAAGGAAAGTCAATAAAATGTAGCTTCGATATTTTCACTAGTTCATTTACAAATGAAAAAGTAGGTTGTTTTTAAATTTATGCAATAGTATTAAATTTTATGATAAGCTCATGATGAGGCATTCATAAATTGTTTGCTTTAAAAATTCATTGTTGAAATATCAGAAATAAAAAATTAGATTAGTGTGATGTAATACATTGGTCATTTTTCTGCAAACAAAGTTTAAATATTTTATAAATGAAAGCAAAGATAGCTTTAATATTGGATATTTTCAGCAATTGTGTCATTGTTTTCTAGAGAAGAAAATATAGAAATTTATGGAATCAAACATATGTAACCTAACAAATACAAGTCACTTGATTGCTAACATTTATTTTTATAGGAACTTTGCAGGTTATGCCTTTAATGTGGGTCCATCATTTCTTGCTTATAACTGTGTATATATAACATCGCACTAAAGTAAAATTCTAAGTGTGAAGTTGGTCACTTTTACAACTGCGTGTATTTAAAAGATGGTATTTTAGTAATTTCATAAGTTAGTGTAGATGCAATAGCATAAAAGCGAAGATATGTTAAAGCACAAAAAAGATTGTGTAAAAGAAAATCCTTTGTATCTGTTTGCTTATGTACTCTCTCTTATTGCCAAAAATTTTTAATTAGATTTTCATGCTATTAACTGTGGAGAGTGTGTGCAATTTCTTTTTATTGTTCATAAAGTATATTTCAGTGTGTTATAGTGAGTCATTTAGAGTAAATGATCTATTACATTCATGTATAAAATATGTTATATTTTGCATGTACAGATATTTTTTTCACTTACTGAATATTTCGAAAGTATGATCAAAGGTTAACTCATCATTACTGTTCTTTTTACAATTGGAAAATGTCAGAATATTTGTCAAAATTTTTAGTAAATGAATAAAAATTTATAACTTTTTAATGGTGATTCTTTATTGAAATTACATTTATATCATTTGTTGATCATGATGTTAAAATTATAAAAGGGCTTCACAGTTTGTTCTGCAACTGGTTGTTATTGGCTTATTCTACTGTAGTGTGTAGAAAAATGTAATAAATTTTCATAAAATTCTTCTGCACTGTATATTAGATTTTTTAGTTTTATACAGAATTTTAAAGTAACAATATTTTGTCGTGTTAAAAATAAACATGTACTGAAACGTAGGTTTTGATTTTTTAATATTTTGACAAAGAATGATAATGGCTGGATTTGCAATTCCATATTCTGGTAAAGTGCAGATTTCTTTTTAGTTATTTTATTTTCCATCATTGTTTTTCCTATTTGTCACTCCTCTTGGTTAAAGTGAAATGCAGTGAATCTGCCATTAGCTTCTGTTTGCGGATAGTAATCTTTGCATACTGTATTCATCTCAAAATGGAATAGAGAACAGCTAAAGACCAAGTTCAGTTGTATTTTTTAAATGATCACTGATTAGATCATATTAGTTTGCTTATGACAAAGCACACTATGGCTATCTGCTTCTGAAGAAAATTGGCTCTGTGGAGGACTTTCTAAAGAAATATTGCCTGTATTTACATTATGCATGAGAAAAGCTATTGAAACCACATACAAACAGCCTGTTCATTCTCCAGGAGACATATTACCGGTCTTTCGTTGTTTAAGCCGATAAGCCATCAGTGGACATATTAACAATTAATCTTATTAAAAGATTTTTTGCTAGATAGCTATTAATAAATGCAGTCATCTGTGAATGCATTACTGTTTAAAGAACATAACGTGTTATCTAAAGAATGATGTTAGTCATTTTATGTTTTCTTACTATGCCACAAACCACTAATGAATGACCAAATGCAGTTTACAAAAACTGAAATACAGAACTGAAAGCTTATCAAAATATGGAATTGTATAGTAACTTTTTTCCTTGCAAGAAATATCAATCATTTGAGTTTTTCTTGCCCATTAAAAAGATAGTATAAAATGTCTCAGTTTGTGTACAGTGGAGACATTTTAGGATTATCGCCTGTAAAGAAATTAAGATTTTTTTTGCTGATTAGATGAAGCAAAGGCGGGATGAATTTGTTGATAATCTTTCCCATGCTGATTTTTCTATCTGGAGAATGGCAAAAGCGCTACATAAAGAAAAAAGGAATATTGATCTTTAATTTAAAATTGGAAAAAAAAAGAGGTCCACAATCCGAAAGCTTTTGTTTCTAGTTCGAAAAACAATTTCAAATTAAATAATATGCTTATTCCAAACGGAAATAAAATTACAAATACAGTAAATCCCTTTATCAGCCTCTAGGCTTACACTTCGAATTTAGCAATCAGCCCTATTGAATTCTATTTTCAACAGTCTCAATCCCAAAAAAGCAATGGGATGTAATAAATCTCAAGTAATGATTTACACTCACTCCAAAAAGAAAGAAATAGCACTTATTACAAATACATTGCTCTCCAAAAGTTAAGGAACAGCATTTTTTTTTTTTTTTTTTTTTCTCCCAAAGTTCACATTGCAAAAATGTCAGTAACATGAGTAACTACTAGCATTCATCGGTCTTAACCGCACAGACATTGGTGCGGCTCTTCTGGACTAAGTATAAAACTCTTCAAAGGCATTGGATTGTGTGCCTCTAAATGTTTTCGTTCTCGCCATTTTCTGTGCTTGCCTGGTTAATCAAAAGACTTTCTGAGCTGTGGAATTTTTTTTTTTATTATGAATGATCAATGGGGCAATAAAGTGATATGGTTTATCTCTCTTAGAGGCCGACGGTTACTTAATAAGTGATGGTGTGTGATCTGTGACAAAGAAGTACGCATTACAGCCTTCTAATGAAAAAGTGTTCAGCCACTGGATTAAAAAAAGTTGCTACATGTGTCTTCACATACGTAAGACATGTACGAAAGGTAATTACAGCAATCCCTCTTTATCCATAGGGTTTAAGTTCTTCCAGTATCCCAGAGATGACAAAATTGTGGGCAATACTGGGAAGGCAGAGTAAAGATTCAGTGCAATAGTAACCATTTATGCAAAATCTAAATAATTTCACATAAAATAAAGAAAATTTATTTAAATATATAAATTGGGTGTAATAATGAAAATTAATTCAATAAAAATATTAATCAGCACTTATGTCATTAAAAAGGCGTTATTGAGCTTTGCTTCCCCTTTTTTACAGTGCCTTCGTGTGACATATCATAGGGCTCCAATAAATTCTAAACCTTTTCAAACTTCAGTCCCTTTTCCCTAAAAAGAACCAGAATGCAATCAATTATCTGTGCTGCCACAGAAAAAATTTCGGTTAAAATTTTAATAACAACGTCTGGCCCAAGAGCTATTATTTCTATTTCAAACTCTAATATTCCCATTTGCTCAGAATTATGATATACTCTTCTAGTATCTTTTCTGTCCTCTACAGTCAATTATGATCATAACATATTTTTTTTTCTGTCTGTTTAATTCATTTCTTCAAAACATTCTTCTCTAGCACTTTGTGCTACGACTATTGAGCTATCACAGTGCTGTTACCTAGAATTTTACCGTCAGTTACAAGTTTTGGCCAGAATTTGTGCCAACAAGCATTTATTGTGAAAAATCTCATCTATTAACTCTTTTATTTGACAAGACTGGAAGGCGATGTAATAATTTTTTGCAGGTCTGTGTGTTAGCCCTCACTGATCTTGCATATTCTTCATAAGGTCTTTAAAAGTTCTTTGCGTGTAACAGGCCTTTAAAGCTGCAACCATCCCACGATCCTTGTAGAAATGAGGTAGTATGTGCTGCTAAAAATATGACTTAAATTTTTTGGTTATCTAGTTTTAACAAGAGAACGCTTTAAGCAAGGTTAAAATGTTTTAAAACAAAATATTGTTTGAACTAATCACTAAAAGTTTTTGCTACAGCCCAAGCGCTTTTGCTATGCTTATAAAATATTGGCCCTTGACATTATACATCAGAGCTCATGGATTCAGTGATTTTTAAATAAGCGTAGAACCCTGGAACACTTGCATGTGAATAAAATAAAATCGTAAGCCTCCAGCAGCTTTAAATTTGAGTGCAGATTTTTAAGTTTTAAATAGGAAGTTCTCTAAGATTTGTCTCATTTACATTAAAGATCTGTCTCAGTTAATCTTTCTCGCTTATAGAAAGCCTTTTGGCATGAGGCAGTCATCAGCTAGTATGTGCTGAGCTAAGAAAGACTCCCTAACAAATTTGACATTATGTGAGCCTAAAATGACTTTTAAACTTTTTGAAGCAACCCTTACTTTACTGTTGTTGCTTTTAGCCAATAATGATGTAAAATAATTCTTTCCCTTCTCTCAAAATTTAAAACAGAGATACTATGTTTGGAACTAGACCTAAACCTAAACATTTAAGAATTTTCAATCCCTTTTCCCTTATTTTCAGTCTTCTCCAGTCTAAGCTGTCATATTTAGAGCACTATTTTATGACAATCGAAGCAGCTTCGATAACGCTATAATGCATATTTTCCCTTCCCAATTTTTTATCCTGCAAAAGTGGACTCGTTTATTCCAGGATTTTTTTTTTTTTTTTTTCATTTCTTAGTTTATCTAACAATTAGATAATTTTTTTTATATTGTTGTTTTTTCTTTACAATTCCTCTGAAATGTTAAAGACTAATGAATGCATAATCACTAAGCCAATAACGTTAACAAAAAAAAAAAAAAAAAAAAAAAAAAAAAAAAAAAAAAAAAAATGAGTGCATCTACTGTCTGTCAGAAACGCCATTCGCATCTGGAAGCAAGGCAAGATGTTGAACTACACTATATAAAAAAAAGAAATTCATCCAAGATTTCCCTTTCCTCGTTAATACACAGACAGATATACCTCCACAAAATGAGGCATGAATGAAAATGATGCCTTAAATGAACATCACACGGGTCTGCCACATATTTTAATGCATAGAAAAACTAAGACTGAACAATAAGCAAATACCGTATTTATGCGAATCTAATGCGCCATCGAATCTAATGCGCATCCCCATTTTAAAACTTTAAATAATAAAACAAATTTTTGTCGGCGAATGTAATGCGCATCAATGGTATGAGGAATTTATTGAATCTTATTTTATACAACAATGGATTTGTATATAAACTATCAATCAATGGTATGATAATTTTATTTAATTTAGATACCATATTTTATACAACAATGGATTTAAACATAAAGTAGCAGAACATAGAATTAACCTATTAGTGGGCTATTGTTATGTGAAACAATCATTGTTAATTACCACTACCGTATATACGGTACATATCGTAAAGTATGAACATGAAATAAATCGTAACATTTCTATCTAGCTAACAGTTTCTACAATCAGTGATTAATAGTAAACGTCTTTATTCACTATTTTGATGATAACTTCCTTAGTCCCCTTCTACGTAATGGTGTAGTTAGGAGGCATATCAAACCAAATTGGCGTCTCGTCAGCATTGCCAATTTGCCCCATTTAAAAATTCTTTTTCCTTTCGAAGTGTGTGATGACATACCGCTAAAATGTTAGTAGTTTTCCCTCAAAATCTGCAGGAAGCTTTTGGCATATTGTTGTACGGCGTCTTAGAGATAAGCCTTTGGTGGTCGTGTGTGCTTAATGCATGATATAATTAAAGAAAATAAGAATAGACAATCTCCTATAACAAAAGAATATATTAAGTACTAAATTACAATTTAAATTACATTGAAGAGATCAACACAGAGCTCGGAACACAGTTCGTGCTAGCGTCGCGTACACTTGTCCGACGAGAAGTCTGAGTGAGTAAAGATGTCGCTTTGCTGCTCCGATTAAGAACTGGATTTTACACGTGGCGCCATCTCATGAATAGAAGTTGAAGTATCTGTCGGAACGCCACAGTACTCCCCCCCCAAGTACCATCGGTACGTTATAAGTACTTTGGGTTAAATTTAACTTTTCTTCCAGATCTGGTAGTTTTAGGTTGCTCTT